TGGTCAATGGCTCTATTTTTGTGCCAGTACCAAGCTGTTTTGATTACTACAGCCTTATAATAAAGTTTGAAGTCTGGTAAATTGATACCTCCCATTTTGTTTTTATTGCCTAGAATTGTTTTTGCTATGTGAGGTCTTCTCTGGTTCCATATGAAGTGTAAAATTAATTTCTCTACATCTGTGAAGAATGATGTTGGTATTTTAATAGAGATTGCATTGAATCTGTAGATCACTTTGGGTAGTATAGACATTTTAACAATGTTGATTCTGCCGACCCACGAGCATGGTATGGTTTTCCACCTGTTTACGTCCTTTGCTGTTTCCTTCCTCAGTGTTTCATAGTTCTCCCTGTAGAGGTCTTTTACCTCCTTGGAAATACAATCTTAAAGAAAGGAGAGCATAAAGGAGGAACAGTAAAGTGAAATCTGAGAATAAAGGTGACAGAGAGTGTGATCAGCATAACCATATCACATAATGTCACTGAATCACGTTTACTTACTCCCCAATCCAGGACGAGATGTGCTTGGTAAAGATATAATCAGTTTTGAAAATCATTCATTGAAACTCTGCATTCTGTGGTCCAGATCAGCACCAGGAGGTCCCTGGGACCATTGTCTGTGGAACTGTAGAAATGGAGGCCAAACTAAGTGGGATAAGGAGAGAAGGGGAGCTAGGAAGTGTGTTTAGCACATGGAGACTGGCTTTCAAGGAGGTTGACGCTGACTAGGCAGTAAACTAAGGGGAGTATGAAGTCAAAAGAGGTCTTCCTTCAAGATGGGAGCCACGGGAACACCTGTACGTGCTGGCGTTAACAGATAGTGGGGGGTGATTGATGAGCAAGGAGAGATAGGCGAAAGGGCAGAGATTTTGAGTAGGCAGGAAGGGTGGGATCCAGACCCCTCGTGGAGGATCAGACCTTTGCTAGAAAGAGGAACACTCATTCATTGTGATGTGCAGGAAGGAGATGGGCGCAGGCACAGGCAGCTCAGAGCTTTGGTGATGGGAAACTGAGGCAGCATCAGGTTGATGGCTTCTACTTTCTCAATGGCGTATAAGGTGAGGATGTCTACATTTGCCTAGAAGACTAGGACCCTTGACCTGAACCATGTGCCCCAGCATCTGAATGGTTCAGTTGGTTCTGTCTCACCATTCCCATCAAAAATGGCCAAGCCATATTCATTAGCTGCTAACACCTGTCGTGTCCAAGGAGAAGCAGCTCTTTAAAAGGTAAAAGAAGTTCTCACATGTTATGCGTATGCTCACTCACACCAACATCCCAACCCTGTTGGATTTTATTGCTCTCCTGCATTCTGTCAGTATCTCCGTTTGTCCTGCTGGTTGCTTTTTGATCTACGTGCTTGTTGATCGGTGACTTTCTTTTCGGTCTGGCGCTTTGATGTGTGGTACTGAGCTGGGAATCCCTGTGTGGACCAGAGCCACCGTTTTCAGATCTTGAAATATCAGATAAGAAAACATCTTAGAAAGAGAAAGTGCTAATCATTTTAGAGAACTCAAAATGAGAAGGAGTAGAACAACACTAAGGTGACCTTTCCAGAGAGCTGGCACAAGCTCCCAGAACATCAACACAAATAAACACAATTCTGTAATCAAGTGGTAGCCTTTTCTCTCAACCTTCACCTAGAAGGCCATCTATTATGCACATTTTAAGTACTTTCTCAGTAATAAAAAAAAGCTTGAATGCAGAGAAAAGCTATAGCTATGCTTGTCACGTAAGCCAAATGATAAGAGAGTTAAGCTCTTGAATTTACATAGAGACTTTTTCCCAGTAGCTCAGAGAACTTTCATTCACATTGGGTCAGATTCTCACCGAGCTTGAGCTGTTTCCTAGAACTAAGTTAAAACATCGTAGGAAGTTGCAGTAACCATTTCAGCAAGCCCTTTAAGGTCACTGGGTACCATTTAACAAATTAATGTTCCAATGGGCTAACTTCATTTTAGGAAATAACTTACGCCCTAGGAAACTATGACTCATAGTCTGTTTTGTCCCCACTGTAGTAAAATTTAAATTCCAGACCTATACACCAAAGATTGTAAAAGGGTCCTCTTGCCTTTTGTTAATTCCAAAATAAACAGGCCTGTTATCCTGAAATAAAAGACAGGAAGATGGGGACAACTACCACCTAGATTGTTCAAGATTTTATGTTAGGCCAATTCACTTTTCTTTCAGTGCAATCTCATACTACATGCTATGCATGTCTTGTGGAGGAGTTGTGTGCATAATAAAGACCAAATCCCTACCGTATCATTTTTCTTTTGAGTGTGAGGCTGTTACTCAGAATTACTCAAAGATACTCAGAATTTCATGCTGTGATGATTCAGTGAAATCATCTATTCCTCCTTCACAATGTGTCAACATCATGTTCATATATAAATAAATTCCACTTTTCTCTGAGCTAAGCAAAACCTACTACATGTAGTTGTTACATTTTTAAAATATCTATATATTTACAAATATATATGTTCTAGATCAAAGAGGGAGAGTTATCTTGTCTAAAACTGGTAAAGACAATAAAGGAAGATTTTGGAATCTCGTCTCTAGAGAGTCTAAAAAATAAGACTGATCTCTGTTTTCTAGAGATGAACTAATTGAAACCTTCCCTGAGGCAGGTGGCTTGGACTAAATTGCTTTCTGTCGTAGGATTCAGCAAATTTATAATTACAAATGAAATTTTGCTGACCCATCACATAAGCCCTATTGACAGAATCTCGCCCCACATTGGTTGAAGCCGTGACAGGGATTTGTGTCTCAAGTTTACATGTCATGGGACTTTGTTTCCGTGGAAATCCTGGTGTTCCTTTTGGGCTTCAGGCCATGTGGGGATTACTTCCCAAATTCCACATAGAAATATGTAGTATGCTCAGACCTTCCAAGAGTAGGCTTCTTTTTCTTCAAAGAGTAAGATGGACCTTAATTTGCAAACCTATGTTTGAAAGATTACAACTCTTCCCCGGTGAGAGTAAACCACAGACAGTATCATGGAATTTTTACCTGAAAGTTTTGGACAAATAACAGACTATTGAATATATTTCATCTCAGACATACCTGTCTTGCTTTCCAAAGTTCAGTTACACTGATGCATATTTATCCTTGTAAAATCTATTCCTTAAGGACTGGCTAGGGCTTCTTGACAAGGACCAAAGGAATCCAGAAACTGGGGCAAGACATTAGTCTAGGGATTGGCAAACTACAGCCCACAGATCGAGCCTGGCCTGCCGCCTTTTTTTTGTAAAGGAAAGTTTTATTGAAACATGGATATGCTTATTTATCTGTGGCTGCTTTCACACAAGGACAGCAGATTCCACGAGTTGCAACAGAGACCATATGGCCTGCAGAGCCTGAAATATTTATTATCTTGGCCTTTACGGAAAAAGTTTGCAGAACCCTGCGTTAGTCCATGAACCTGCCTCAGATATACATAATGTAGTAAAGTATAATATATTATAGTTTATATATTATATATGTCATATAATATAGTATAATATCATGCCATATAAACAGTGTTTGATTCTTCTGGTCCCCTGAAATTAGTTAATAGAATGTGAAGGTAAGTGAATTACTGATAGCAGTTTCATTTCTGAATTCCAGAAGTATAACAATGATTGGTGGATAGGAAGGCTGGTGAAAGAGGGCTGTGAGATCGGCTTCATTCCGAGTCCGCTCAGACTGGAGAACATACGGATTCAGCAAGAACAAAAAAGAGGACGTTTTCACGGAGGGTAAGGTTCCATCCTTTATATGTATATATTTTTTGTGGGGGTAAGAAAATTAGGTGATATTTTCAAGTTTGCTTATTAGGTTAAAAACACACGCGTTCAAAGTAAAAGATACTTTTCCGTGTGTGAGGCGTTTCTGGATTTGACGCAAAGGGTTTCAGGTAGCTCACTCTCCCCATTGCATGCCGAAGCCCAGCTCCACGGGAATCCACGTGCATTCCGCAGTGGAGACCGTGTCCTGTCGCCTCAGCAGGCCCTCCTTGGAACTCAGGCTTTCCTCTGTGCGGGTCACCTAGGACATCCTTTCTCAGTGGAGTGAGTGGGAACTGCCTTGACTCGGCACTCTGGCTCCTCGTGGTTCACTTTCAGAGCGTTCCTCGAGAGAGCACAGAATGTGATGGCGTATGCGGGTCCCGGCACTAGTAGCACCTTCTCCCTGGCTTTTTGTAGCATCAACCATCTCCTGGCATTGGGGTGAAGATACTGTCCAGCTTCAGATGCATCAGCCTCTAGTGAACAGATGGAGTAGATCTAAGCCACGTAGATCTGACAGTGCAGGTATTTAAAGGCCCGAGGAACACAAGCACAGCTGGAGAGAAGAGAAATCCGTGTCATGCTGGGCCCCCATATACTGTGTTACAGCTTGCCCTGGAGCACGGATTTGATATGTGCTAAGATTTTTTGAAAGCCCTGAAATAGAAGCAGCTCTTCTCTTGTCCCTCAGCCTCCGTTTTCTGCTGGACCCTTTTCTCTTTCAAAACCTCCCCTGTTCTTTAGAGGCCCTTTTGCTTTTGTCGTAATGGGAACCTCTTTGACAGTAATAGATCACTAAAGTATAGTTATCCCCACTTTAATTATTAGTATTTTTTAGTATATAACATGCCTAAACTATTATTCATTGTTAATCCCTCTCGTTCCCTCTTCTCTAAACTTTTTGTCTTCCATACTCCTCCTTAAACACACTGGGAACACATACTCCTGCCTCAGGGTGTTTGCATTTGCTGTGTTCTCTTACTAGAACCCTTTTCTTCACATTTTCACCAGGTCACGCCTTCATCTGCTTTAGATCTTTGTTAAATACCACCTTTCCAGGGACCCATTTCCTGCCAACTGTATTTCAAATTGTACCCACTCTCCTTCCCTGCACTTCCTATCCTTTCTGACTTAGTTTTCTCTGTTGCACTCATTACTCTCAGAAATATTATATTAATATATTTACCTGTTTATCTTGTTTGGTACAGTTCAAGCATCTATAATCCAAAAATCCAAAATCCAAAATGCTCCAAAAGGAAATACTCATTGGAGCATTTTGGATTTCAGATTTTTAAATTAGGGATGCTCAGCTGGTAAGTATATAATGTAAATATTTCAATATATAATGTAAATATTTCAAAATCTGAAAAAATCCAGAACCAGAAACACTTCTGCTCCCAAGCATTTTGGATAAGGAATGCTCAGCCTGTAATGACATCTCCCACTGGAATATGACTCAATAAGGAAAGGGATTTTGTCTCCTCCTACGCCTGTCCTGCCACTGTTATATTCCTAGCTTCCAGAACAGGGATGCAAAATCAATATTTGTTGAATAAAATAATAATTGAATTATCATCTCTTCCAGAGTTTTATTGTGATTGTTATAATTATTCCATAATACTATTACAGTCATGTGCTACATGATGACATTTTGGTCAATGACAGACTGCATATATGACAATGGTCCCATGAGTTTATAATACTGTATTTTTACTGTACCTTTTCTATATTTAGATATATTTAGATATACAAGTACTTACCATTGTGTTACAATTGCCTACAGTGTTCAGTAACATGCTGAACAGGTCTCTAGCCCGGGAGCAATAGGCTCTACCTCATAGCCTAGGTGTGTAGTAGGCTGTACCATGTAGGCTTGTGCAAGTAGACTCGGATATTCCCATAATGACGAAATCACCTAATGACACATTTCCTTCATTAAGCATTGCATGACTGGTTATACTTCTGAAGTAAAAGCTTACTTTGTGGCAGGTGCAATAGTAAAGCCCAGAGCTCACAGACATGATTTTATCTTTATACCAACCCTGTGAGGTACAGCATCTCCTTCTATAGCTGGGGAAACTGAGATTCAAAGATGTGATGTCGCACAACTAGTAAGTGGCAGGGCTTGGATGGGAAATCAGATTTTTCTGACTATAGGGATCATACCCTTGAACACTAAAAGGGAGGGACTCAAGAGAAGTAGAAAGGTGGCACCTCGATGGCCTCTTTGGGCTCCAGGGAAACTTCCAAAGCACACCTGAGGAGACCAATGTCTATGATCTTCCATTCTGGGTCACAAATAAAATCACTTGTGACCAATTCCTTGTGGTTAGTTCTTAACTCAAACTCCCACATAATCGTTTATAAGAAGCAATGGTTTCTCCAGGTCTTCCTGTTTGTTTTGAGCTGTGCTCAACATCTGACTGGCACGTTGGTGACTGGTGTTAGTGAGCAGGCAGTTCACAAGAACATTCCTGCCAGTGATTCCTTTGCCTAATTTCTGCACTGAAAAACTAGAAGAGATAATTTTGCAAAATATTTCCGGGTCCCAGTTAGTTCCCCACTTTTTCTGAGAAATGAGGTCAAAGAAAACATTTGGACAGACAGATTCTTGAAGTTCTTCTCTGTAGCAGGATTTGGTGTGTTTTGAATTATTTAGTAGGATTAAGGCCAAAGAAAACTTTGTACTTTCAAGTTCTATTTTCAAAGAACCTGGGGAGTGAGTCTTAAGTTCCTTTTCTATATCCTAGGAAATCAAGTGGAAATTCTTCTTCAAGTCTTGGAGAAATGGTATCGGGGACATTTCGAGCAACTCCCACATCAACAGGTGAGGATTTTAGTTAAACTCTTTTTAATGGAATGTATTCCTTTTTGAACACACATGCAAGTATTTCTACTAATTTGGAAATGATTTAAAGGCTTGATTTAAAGGTTTTTCTGTTTAATATTTCATTGCTTATTTGCTTTCTATGGTAATTTGATTTGATTAAAGCATTCTAATGATACTAAAAATTCAGATCATTATAATAGAATTTTGAAAAATCTTATTTACCCCCCAGAGTCAGTAAGTGTCCATTGTATAAATCAATCTGCAACAAGTTTATTATTCTACCCAAGAACCCAGCAGACTTTAAGATGGTGAGGGCCTATAAAAAAGACAAAAAAGTGTTAGATTCTCAAGAAAATGCTGTTTCAGTCTCCATGTGAAACTTTAGGATGTTTTGGGCAATGGAGGCTGGGAGGGTTGAAACAGAGAATGAGGCAGGGCCTGGATGAGGTATGGCCTCGTTAGTACCTAAACAGCAGACAACTGGGTCCTGGAATTAATGGTCATGAAGGGACAGTGGTGGCCTAATCGGGACTTGTGGTGCATTTGGAAATTATGGAGGTATTCACGCAGGAATTTTCTCCCACCTCATTCCCAGACTCCTGTAGGCTAATTTCATTCTGGTCCAGAACTGCTGCTGCATTACGGCATCCAGTGTCCTGACTTCAATTCCAATTCCATTGCCACTTCTGAATGGCAAGTCCAAGGCTCCATTCTGGCCTCCCACAACTGCAGGAAACAGGATTGGCGCTGAAACAATTCTAAGCATCCGAGTCACTGTTTATGCGAATCCTTCCTGATCTCAGGGCACTGGACCAAACTAGGTCTCTGAGTTGCCCCCAGACAGCTGGGCCTGCTGGGATGGCCGCAAAGCCACTTTAAATCAGATATTGAGTATATTTTGCCTCATTCCCATTTGTTGGACACTCAGGACACTGCAGTTCTTTGCTGTTACAAACAGGAAAGAACAGGAATCACTGGTTATAAGTTTATTTGAAATTTGAAAGCAACATAGTAGCAAAAAAATGGGTCAATGTTTTAGAAAATGGGCAAAAACACCTAAGGGACTGCAAAATTATCTCATGGTTCACCAAAGTTACATATACAAAAATAACTAGTGGTTGAGATGACAGTCATTTGTTCCCCCAAATTGTTATTCTGTTTCCTTTTATCAAATTATATTTGTCCAACTTGTTCCCAGCCACACTGTGCTGTGTCCAGCACGGGGACAACCCATGGTTAAGGTCTGGCACGGAACTTCCAATGTTGGTACGAACTGCTGTCTACCACCCCCACCCAGCACAAAATCAGGATATAAGGTCATTCATAGAGGAAGGAAGTTGTCTGTTTTCCGTATGTCCTCAAAATTGACATGTCTAGAATGAAACAATAGAGCAGAGCTCTACAGAGTGGGTGGTAGGGAAGTGATAAAGATAATTACAGGGACAAATGGGTACGTTCTTCCATCTTTTAAACTCAGGATACTGTCATTTACAGAGACTACATATTTTGATATGGCTCTCATTGTTGTCTTTTAGCAAAACAGAAGCAAAAAGTGGTAAGTTGTGTTTCCTTTTTAAATCTACTGTTCACGTTCCTATGCATACATGCCTGCAGTGCTCCATGCCAGTAACCCAAATGGCTGCAACATAAGGGATGAGCCTCCTCGGTGGGGACCTGTGGTGCCCTGAGAATTATGAATGTTGTGGCTGTTGAGGGGCGCTCGGCCTCACCTTGTCATGCGTGTCAAATCATCTCTTTCAGACGGAGCACATTCCTCCTTATGATGTTGTGCCATCCATGCGCCCGGTGGTGTTAGTGGGGCCGTCACTGAAAGGTTATGAGGTACAAATATCATCTGTTAACTCTTTCGTTCTTGATCGAGAACCCAGGAGACAGTCGTTTTGGCGCTTGCTCCTCCAGGGTCTGTTGACATATCGGTACTGATGGCAGCCAGCTCTCAGGATGTGAAGGCGGGTGGTGCAGTGTGGGACTCCGGTGGCCCTTTGCCCTCTCCTTCCTCTCTTGCACGCTTCTCATCGGTTACGTATTACCTTGCGTAGAAATAACTCCCTCACAGTGTTTACAAGGGGGAATTCTGATCAAAGATTTGCTCTGCATTAAATTCAAAGAAAAGGACTTTATCTGTTTTGACCATTCCCGTTATTATTAGAAATAACAGAGAATGAAAAGCACAGGGGAACATATAAACAATCTTCTAGCAAACCTCACCCCTCAAAGTACCAACAAATCTCACCCTGCTGGGTGCTCAAGGTGATGGCATATTCCGTCACATGTTTCTCTGCTTATTTATTTTAAGGGACACATAGGAAAAAAGCCACTAAAAACATTAGTGAACTTTGGAGATTAATGAAGCAATATTGTATAACCAGGAAAAGAGTAGTGACTTAGATATACTACATTTCGGACGTTGCCATTTGACTTTGTGCTAGCATGGATAAAAACAGGGAGATGTGACATCAAAATCAAGGTGGGCAACCTCCAGGGCACCATTCCCACTGAGCTAGGACAATGTCTGGCACATAGTAGGCACTCAGTACACATTTGTTGAATGAATTAATGAATCTCTTTGAGGCAGATCTAAGAATCCTCTCTCTTTCTGTCTCCCTCTCTCCCTCTCTTTCTCTCTCTCTCTCTTTCTTTCTTTCTCTGAGTTGGAAATGTCAGGGAGATGAGCAGGAGAGTGGTCTAGAAAAACCCAGCCCTGGGCATGGAGAATTTCCCCCAACATGCATAGACAAGCAGGACAGCTAAAGCCCAGGGCTGGCCTCTGGCCTCTAGCTGCTCCTCGCTGGAGGCAAGCATAGCTCAGGCGTGCCAAGGATGGCTAGCAACTGTGTACAAAGCCAGCCTGTTTTCTCCTGACAGCAGTGGGAAGAGGGAAGAGAGGGAAAAAAACCAAGGGGGAAAATTAGCAATTGCACAGGGTTACGCATGAAAAACACCTTCCACGCTAACCTCCCCGTAGGAGCCGACTGCCTGTGATAAGGTCATTCCTAGAGCCCTTCCCTCCCACCTCTCTTTTGACTTCTCTCTCTCTGCGTGTGTTTGCCTCATTCTTTTTTTCTCACCTCTGCAAAGGTAACAGACATGATGCAGAAAGCCCTCTTTGATTTCCTGAAGCACAGGTTTGATGGGAGGTGAGACATATAGATGTTTTTGTGTTTTTATTTTCCTTTAACCAAACATGTATGATAAATTGATTTGTGGATCTATGTTTCCAGAGATTGCAGAAGTTCTCTAATTAAAAGTTAACTCAGTATTCTTGGGAAGAATATAATGAAAGAACTCTGAAAATATGAAGTATAGCATTGAATCCCAAGGGAAAAAGGACCTTGAGAAGGAAATAAGCCATTTGTTTTATTCAAATGTATGTGTCTTTATTTTCTCATTTATTAGTGAATTCATACCAAAATGATTTTTATAAAAAATACTGATTAAAATATATAATATTTCTGATGAATATGGTGGCTTGCTGGTCAAGCTAGGTAATATTTGGGAATTGTGTGTGTGTGTGTGTATATGTCATATGAAGGTATAAAGTACTGAATTTCCATGAAAGAAGTGTGTGAAAATTGTTTTCATCATAAGCCTCCCAGAGTGACTATTTTGTAGGAAATAATATTTATCTGGGTGTTTAGTTCCGGGGTTATTTTATTAGAAATGCCCTTATTATTTTTTTGATCTATTTTGTATATATCTTGCTATGACTCATCATCAATATGGCTCAGTCTTTAGCCATCGGATAATTTTATCAATTAAGCTTTGTGAAAAATGTCTAGAGAGAGTTCGTGTTTTTCAGAGAAAAAGTAAAAGTCTATGTTGACTCAATCCTCAATTTTGAGCTCTTCCATAATGCAGAGTGTAGTCCTTGTAAAAATAATCACATGAAAAAACCTGAAAACATACCAGAAATATAGAAAATGTAAATAGTTGTATACCGAAAAGTTGGATAAATGCATCCAATTTATCACCTTCAGTACACTAAATAATTTAAAAATGTAAAAAGAAACTTCAAGTAGATTTTAATAAATTGGTATTTTAAGAAAAAAGAAAACGTGACAATGTTTTAAGTATAAATTGTACATATTTGTCAAAAGAAAAGCCATCTGTATAATTGTGTTAAAAATATTCATTAGTTTCGGGGACTATATACAAAGAAAATAAACTGGGATTTTAGTTCAAAAAATAAGAATGCTTCTGTGCTATTATGTGAACTTTTAAGTTCATTAGCATAGGCCAGGCTGCCTTAGTAAATAGACCTGAAGGTGTATAATGATTTAACCACAATGGACGCTTAGTTTTGGTGACTTAACATTCTGAGGCAGGTGTTCCTTCACTGGGAGGGAGGTAGAGAGGGGGAGGGGAGGATTGGGCAAACAGTTTATTCCACCAGGCACTTGGGGCCCTTCGCTGGGGGGTGGAGGGGGTGGAGGGGGTGGAGGGGTGGTGGGTGATCTCTCCAGTGAGCTGGTCAGGGAAAGGAACTGCCGGGCCGGAAGCGGTGCACATCATTTCTCATGTTTCACTGGTAGAACTTGGTCACGTTGACATACCTAATTGGAAAGGAGGCTGAGAAATACAGTCTAGTTAACTACCCAGGAGGAAGAGGAGATAGATTTCTTTGAACCAATAACAGTCTCTGCCGCATTCATCTAGTGGACATAAAGGGCTTAATGGGAAAGGCATGTGTTTATCCCATTCCGCTCTTTTTTAAAAGAAGATAGGCATAGAATGAAGTAGATTCAAAGAAAACAAGTGGAAAGTACTGAATACTATTGGAGTTGGAAGGAAATGTCGAAGTTCTTTTAGTCTCATCTCTCTTCTGCAACAACCACAATCAAACGACCTGCTTTTGTTTGAAAACCTCTGGCTATCGGGAATTCACTTCCTAAAAAAGCATTGCAAAGGAACAACTGAACTCTGACTGTTTAACTTAAACAGTACTGGTCTTGGTCCTGCCTTCTGATGGTCTGGACCAGAACCCTTACCCTCATGCAGCTCTCTGTGGATTGAGGGCAGCCAACACGCATGGCCCGGTCTTCTGTATCCGTGTTTGCACGTGCACAGCGCCTTCAGCTATGCTTGGAGTCAGCGGTTTAACCTGTGGTGTCTCTACCTAAGGCAGTTTTGATCAGTGCCTCATCCTCCCGCCCTGTAACAGCCCTCAGTCTGAACTAATCTCATCCCATAACACGGCCCAAGTTTGTGTTAGATTGTTTTGGTCCCCACATAACATACTTATAGACAGCAGTGTTATCAAAGGTTTGAACTGTGGAAAAGAAGAAAAGATTTCTGACAATTTAGCAAGGAGAAAGTGAGTGGCTTAATTGCTGCTTTTAAGAATGAAGAATCTGATATTCTTCCTCACTCCTGAGGCCCAGAAAGAGGAAATTTACTTAATTGTAACAGCTGAGACTTGTCTTGAATCAAGTAGAATTGTCAGCATCGATTACTGTATGCGTACTATCGAAGTTGGTTTTAATAGAAGTAGGATGAAAATTTTAATGCCAAGTGCTCATAGGATCTGATGACACAGCAGAAGGTCTGGAGGAAGAATTCATCAGCAGCAAAAGTAATAGCTGGAGACAGAGACTTAGCGCCCTGGAGAGATCTGATGTATGACAGAGTTGGAGAAAGATAGATATTAAAGGTGAGGGTGAGAGTAGACTTGCTTTCAAATATTAAGAGGCCATGCAGCAGAAAAACAGTAATGAGTTCATTGGTAGAGTATATATGGTGACTTTGATAACGAAGAGGAAGTTCGCTGGTAGCTTCACACTGACTCTGACGTGTCTTCTGCATGGGGAATATCCTTATGTTTGAGCTATGACAATCTGCTGCATTATGTTCTACCAATTAATAAGAGGAGAGAAAACAACAAATAGTCTTTAATTGAAACCAGCCAAGAGAACGCGGAAGGCTTTAGCACAGTGATACAACATAAACAATATGTTCTAATGGAAACCCACTCTGTGTTTCGTTGGCTGTGATTACTGTAGGTTAGAGAAAATAATCAGGAGAAAGTCCTATTATTTTCCAGAAAGTGTAAAGAAGGGATCCATTGGCTATAAGAGGCTTTCTTCTTCAATACTACTTTTCAGATCTTGGTTAGAAAATAATTCAACAAATTGGATTAAAGTCCAACAGCTTGACTCCTACAGAATCATAAACTTGGGGTTGTTTTGATACCTAAGAAATGACTTGAGTCAGTTTAGAACTACTTATTATTATAAAATTTAACATGCATTACTAACTGTAATATATGTAAGAAAAATGAAAAGCACGACACTAAACAGTTCCTGAGGGCCCTTTGTGTGTGTGAGTATCCACATGCAGTGATCATTCCTGTGCACAGACCACAAACTAAGTGAACCCACAAGCACTGGCCTAGCCTGGACACAGCAGATGTACAGTGGGCTCAGAGCTTCTCTCTTCATTTCACACCACAGACATTCACTGGGGAATCATCCTTTCAGATGAGGTTTGTTCAGCTGATTGAATCTGCCATTCAGAGGCTGGACAGCAAGCAGTCAAACCAACTGCAGTTTGTTGACCTATTCTAACCATTTCAAATCCCAAAAAAGTTGTTACTTTAGGCTTTTTGACAACTGGATCAAATCAGCTCTATGGAGTTTATTGGATACTTTGTGACTGACATGGCTGTGCTCAAAAATCCTAGATGAACATCATGTAACCTACGCAGAGATAGGATATTAAGCTAAAGGAAGCTATTAGCCAGGGAACATGTAAAGGAAAAAAAAAAGAGTTTGAGAAAGAATTTGAAAGAAAAGAAGCTAAGAATACAACTTAGGGACTAATATAACACAAAGAGATAGTATTTATTTTTAAAAGGAAATGGAAACAATTGATGCTATCATAAAGCAGCCAAGCTGTGTAAGAATGAAAACAATTTGTAATTGCAGTCACCAAGTGGAAAAAGAGCAGTGACTTGATTATTTCATAATCAATATTATTCTCCTATAAACTCCTGCCATTTTCTATTCAACTGCAGGTTCATGAATGTGTACTCAAACACTAGTGATAATTAAACACTTTAATGTCAAACTTGGATATTTAAATTAGTAGGTTTGATTCCAATATGTCTGACCTAATTCTTCCTCCCACATTTCACGGACTCTGGGAATGGGAGAGTTCATGGTAGACTGCTAAACTTTTGTGGATAGGATATAAGGAAGCTATCTCCTTCAAGTCTTCACATCTCCAATAATAATAGTTTGCCTTGTGTTCGTTATATATGTGCCTGTCAACATAGGACATTACGAATAATTATTTCAGAAAACACTTTTATATATTGCCTTATTTGCTCCTAATGAAAATCCCATGAGATAGTTATGACAAAGCCACAGTTGCCATTTTACAGATTAGGATGCTGACTCTAAAAAGATGGAATGACTTGTCCATGGCCATGCAACTACCAAGAGAAAGATCCAGGAAAATACTCAGTTCTTCTGTGCCTTTCATTCCCATTCTCCTGACAGTGCACTTTTCTGTTCTTTGGAACACTTTTCTCTCTTAATACTAGAAGTTTTAAAAAAGTTACTATACTAACTAGGCTGCATATTAGATGTAGCAAGGATAAAGTACAGAAGGATCTTATAGCTGTGATGTTAGCACATGGAAATGCCAATTAATTTTGAATGAATGTATTATAACTGAAAATAATATCTTTCCACAGAAATAGCATAAAAAACTAATACTCATAGCTCCTGATGGATTGCAGCAGTTGTGATGAATTCCAAGTAGAAATAAGCAACAGTTGGGGTTCAGATTTACTGGTTTTAGGGAATGGTTTTTGCTAGTTTTCAGGGACACTGACTGCTACATCCAATCTGCTGAACTCCTATTAGTCTTTTACCAACTGGCCAGTAACTACTAACACTTGTCACAGAAAGGTTTCCAAGGGAATTTTTTAGAGATGTATATCAAACAGGATGCACAGGAGTGGTGAAAGACAATTGTTGGTCTGAGTATAGCAAGAAAAGAAGTAGAAAGAGGATACCACTTTAAGTAAAAAAAAAAAAAAATGTATATAAGCTAGACAGCATTCAATTGTGAATATACTTACTTTCCTAGGGAATCTTTTATAAAAAAAGAATTTGGGGTGTCTGTTTTTGATAATAGTAATCATCTTTGCATAGAAAAGAGAAATTCCTATTTTGTCTTACTGAAGGGTTTCTAGAGCTATATCTCCCTTCTCCTGAGCTCTATGTTATGTGTGTGTAATTTTATTAACAAATAACTTGTATTAAAAAATTAACTTGTATTTTTATTAGCAATAAAATATAAAAAAGAACACTTTATTGTCCACACCTTTTCCTGTATTTTTGAAATACATTAAATACTTGTTTTCTATATTTTGTTAAACTTTAGTTGTGTTTGAAAATTGCTCTGTAAAAGTGCTTTTAAAACTCAGAAAAAAATAAGAGGGTGCCTCTGTTGATACTCCCTTCATATTTTAAGAACCAAAGGTCACTTGCTTGTGCAAAACTAAAAAAATATGATTTTCACTTAAGCAGAAAAGAATCTTTGGACCCTGCAAAAATCATTATTCGAGCAAGTTGAATTCTGTCCCTAAACCTACCCACTCATCTCCTGTGTTTGGACTGCTCTGGAACATGACTCTATATTTCAGTCCGGCAGCTCCATTCTTAAAACAAACAAGCAAGGAACCCAGAAACACGAAAATAAACATGAAAATTTTATTCTGTAAAGAAAAGGAGCTGCCAATGAGATTTCATGCCTCCTAGCTGCAGTGGCCAACTGAGTAATGGAGACTCAGCTGTGGGCTTCACCCAGCCTCAACCTGACCTAAGTCCTGACCATCTCAGAGCAAGGCTAAGACTGACTGTGCATCTGTGCTTGCCGACTTGGCTCATATCTGGAGATTCGGGGTCGCTGGAGAAGAAAGCGGAACTGAAAGAGAATTATGGAGTCAGGTGACTGAGCACAGACTTGGAGCTGGGGCCTGGTTTGGAACTGCTTAGCTTGTGACTAACTAACCACGTGCAGCTTCTTCTTTGTGTCTCACCAACTTCTTGGTGAAATGAAGTTTTTACACCAGTGTTTTCCAATGTTTTTTAGCAGTTGAACAACTTTTTACAATGAAATCAGATCTAAAGCTCCAATGTAGAAAACAGAAATGCAGAGGTGTCTGCCTGGCATTGAGGGGGGCAAAGCTGGAGCCCCACTAACTCTGCCTCCCTTTAGTGCTCAGAATGGTCCCTGAGGTGTTTCTGCAAAACCCATGGTTTCTACAGAAGACTGTTTGAAGATGCATCAAGCAATTATTAGTGCCTAAAAGTTTTGAAAGTTTAAGTATTTAAAACTTCCTGACCACCTACAGTTTATAAATACAGTGATACAGACAAGCAATGCTTTGCCTTAAAATGGCACCAGAACTTTTGCACAGCCTGTTGTTTCAAAGAAGTAATTTCCAACCATCTGTGAAAAGAACTATTTAAAATTCTCCCCAGGGCTTTGGGTCACTAAAGTCAGTAAAGAGTTGCCTGACAGTGTTGACAGTGTTGTCCAAAAACAAGTGTGAGATGATGTACAAATCAGTAATCGTTAATGACTCTTTCCTGTTGCCTACTCCAATCCCAAAGGAGTTTGGAAATGGAGGAGAATGGGTGCACTGAGTATAAAAGGGAAGGGGTGCTACTTTTCTTGTCTCCTTTCTGGGAACTCTGCCAAGTTGTGCAGATAAGGATAGAGAAAGCCCCTTGGTGGCAGTAACTGGATTAGAGAGGCAAAGTTGGAATTCTACAGACAGATAATAATGGGAAGTTGAGCCATCTCAGTTTAAAATAAAGAATTTTAAAATTGTAAGTTCCAGATGTTCTCATTTGATAAATCATATGCAAATAGACACTCTTCCCCACTTATTTGCAGTGTCTTCACTTTATTCTTCTCTTATACGTCTGCAGGATACTTTCTAACTTGTTAAAATCCTGGCACGATACTCACATTGCCCTCAACTAAGTGTCTTATGACTGCCCACCATATGCATTCAAAGTCATATGCAGATGTGCTGAAGAATCCTGTGCCTGCAGAAAAGAAACCACATTTTTCGCATGGTTACAAATGAAGCATCCCTTTGGGCCTGTGGGGAAATGGCTCATGTATCATGAATTAATTATTGAGTACAAGAAATGCAACTTAGCCACCAACTGGTTGGTTGTCTTTGATGAGGTTTCCCCCTTTGGCCAGCAGCATTGAAATGCCAGGGCAAAGCATTGGTAGTTCCTGAAGGTCTTGTTCAAGAGCGAATCAACTGTGAATTGTGGGGAAATTGTATTGCTGCTTCCTAGAAAGAGCGTGGTTTACCTATATGTTTTGATTCTTTCCTGGTATGGTGTGCGTTATAAAGGGAATTCAGTAAGTCAGGCCATAATGGAGGAAGAGCATTTTCACTGGAGTAGTTTTTTTTTGTTAAATAGCTAAAACTGTCCTCCATTCTGCTCTGCTTGTATTTCGATATTAGCCAAAACTTGTTTAAAATACTTGTGGCCGATGTTTATTATACTGTGGTTCCACTGTAGTATGTAAATTGGTTATTAAGTACTGTGGTTATAAATCACTTGGAGAGCCCCATAACATTTTTACTGGCTTGTTCTGTTCTGTGTTCCTATTCATAGGATATCAATAACAAGAGTGACAGCTGACATTTCTCTTGCTAAGAGGTCTGTCCTAAATAATCCCAGCAAGAGAGCAATAATTGAACGTTCGAACACCCGGTCCAGCTTAGGTAAGATGTTCAAATGTGGTACTTCTCCAAGCTGTGATTACAGACCGGGATGACACATGGTGCGTTCGTGAATGTCTTTTCCAATTTGCTCCCTATTCTGAATGGGGAAGCACTGATCAATACCTAAAGACAATGCCAGACATGGACAACAAGGAAGCAGAGTCTTGCAGCAGCTGGAGCCTGCTCTCTCTCAGCTTTAGGCAATTAGCTAATTAGTAGTCTGGTGGGAAGAATCCTCAACGGGCTCTCCTAGACTTTTGCTGCCTAACCAGGGGAAACCACTCATCTCCGCTTTGCCTGAGCTTCTCAATGAGGCTAATGATATCTGTCATAACTGAGTCACAGCTGACATGAAAGGAAATGAGATATTCAGCCTTCTCAGACCTTTAGAAGAAAAATCAGACAACGGTGTTCTTAGTATTGCTTCTGTGACTAGCTAGTGGTATGCAGAATAGTCATGTGGTTAAGTAGAAATGGAAACCACCATTAATAACGTGCAGACAGTTTAAACATGTCTTTTCAGGCTACCAGTCAGAAAGCATCCTAAAATTCACCATGATGGAAAAGAATAAAAGGCTGTAAGTGATTAGCTCCATCAAGGCATGGGACAGCCAGGCTGGGAGGAGGAATCCCGATGCACAGGAGTGAGTTCATGCTGTTGGTCAATCACATTGTTCATCTGGAAATCCTGCCAGTGGTCTCCACAATTGCCAAGAGTGGTGTAGTCCACTCATAACTTCCTAGGATTCTCTTTTGCATTCACATTCTGAGGACAACTTGTGCTAACTAGGAAAGACAGATAGGGATCTTCCATGCCTCTACATTTTCTAAACTATTGAAATTAGCTCTATGGATGATAGAAAACGTAACAAATCAGGGTTTCTAAGATGGAGTGCATGCCCTAACATCCCATCAAGAATCCACTGATGGCTGGGCCTTGACCTGAGCCAAGGATTGTGCAAGTTGTAAAGAAGACACAAAGTATTGTTAATATCTGTGTTTCCCAGTGTGGGATTGGCACATGGTAATTGCCAATAAATGTTTGTTGGATGGTTGCCTTGTGGGAGAATGCTAAACATACCAAATGGAATAATGGTCGGCACTTGAGAAGGGAAGATCCCTGAGATTAGTCATTCCTTCTTTAGTCCTGTATTTAGAGCCTTCCACATTCAGAGTGAAACATTCTTAAAGTATTTTGAGCTTGAGGAGGTTGCAATGGCAGTGTTGGTATTGAATCAGATTAGGTAACTGACTAAAGTCAAATATCATAGCTGACAAGGATGTTCAATTAGGTTGGAGATTTCTCAAACAAGCATCTATTCTCTGCTCTCCTGTCTTCCACCCTCTTTCTAACTCCTCATAGTGTCTTTGGCTTTTAACCACTCCTTCCTCTGATGTATGATGAGAGGCTAAAAGACACTTAAAAGCATAAGCTGGGTTGCCTGACTCCTGCAACTATTGACACCTCCTAAGGCCTTCATGGGTATTCTCTAAAGTCATTCCTTACAGGCTAGTCAGTGGGGTTAGTGTAAATATTGAGGAAGAAACAAAGTAGATCTCAGTTCATGGTTTTTACCTTTACACTGTAAGTCATATGCCCACTACCATTGTAGTTAATTTAATGGCAATCTATTTTAATAGCCATTGTGTGATCTACTTATGTCCATTTGTCTGCATATTGATGCTCATTTGTAGATTCCTTCATCAAATGTTTATTGAACACTTGTTATGTGCCATGCATTATGCTAGACTTTGGAAATACAGACAAAACTAAGACATAGTATCTTATCCATGGGCAAAGAGAAAGAAGGGACAGATGGTTAAAATACTCTCTGATAACAGAATTATGAACAAAGAGCTAGGGGTATAAAGAAAAAGGGTAGGAGGCAAGCGATGTGTGAGAAGACTTCACAGAAGTTATATTTGAGCTGGTTCTTCAAGACAGATAAGAATATACAAAGACATTGGCATATAAAAGAAATGTATGGTTGAGAAACAAGTAGATTTGTTCATAGCATGCTTAGAAAAGGGGAGTAGGGGTCTGGCTCGAGAGTAACAGAGACTGGACGAGTAGACTGAACCTTTGCTAAAGAGACCTCCAAAATAGATTTCATGAAATGTTAATTTTACAAGATATTAATAGTTGTTACATTCAAAATGTTTTCCATGGTCAAATAAATTTGGAAATGATGAATTAAACAGCTGGCAGGTTTCTTCTCTGCAAGACTCCTTAGGGGCTTTTAAGATATGAAGGATATTACATGTTTGAAATTCCAAGAGAAGCTACTACAGTATGCAATACATCCTTTGCATAAAACCCCCTTCTTTCCATAGGATATCTTATGAGATTACTGTTTCCGGGTACTGACTTTGGGAAATGGTGCTTCAGGCCCTAGGGAGCCATTGAAGTATTTTATGCACGGGAGAAATATGTACAGATTTAGGTATAGGGAAAATTATCAATGACAGATCTTGGAAAGAGGTAGACCTTTCCAGATCAGTAGTGGTCAGCTTATAGAGGTCTTCATTGAGGTCCTCTAGCATCATAGTCCATGACTGCCATGGCTCCATGTGACTGGAATAGGGTTATGAGGAAACCTGCTTCGGAACCCTTGTAAGAATCAGTCTGGGGAGCTAAGATTGTCTGATTTGGTTGAGATTTATTTTTCTTTAAAAAATAAGCTATGTAGATAAATATACCTGTCTCTTCCTCACACGTAAAATTTACTTATTACATTCTATGTACATATTATCCAAATATTGGGCCCAGCCCAGGATTTAGTGTGGCCCTTGCATCCTCCTTCCTGGCTTGCTCTGCCCACACACCTCTCTGCTTATGTCAGAGTGCTGGTTGCCTAAGAGTTTCATCTTGGTTAAACAGTAGGTGTGCCTGTCCTGCTTCTGTCAAAAACCACACTTAACCTCATTGCTGGCGCAGAGTAAATAAGGCCTAGGTATTTCTGAGTTATTTACACAGAGACTCAGAATGTCTTGAGGGTTCCTTGTACCAGGGCAGTTCAGTTTGCATCATTGTCTTTTTGCTGCCTCAGAAAATATTGTTTTCAGATTTGAAGATTAAAACAATATAGACTTGTTCCAGCATAGTCCTGGCCAGGAGCTCCCTTAAAACAGTGGCGGTTTAATGGAAATAGCAAATGGAGAGCATACCCCAACATCTTGATGCTGAAACTTACTACAGTAAAATTGACTTTATTTTCCAAACTTCCTTCCAAAGGAAAAAAAAAATTCTTAACTGTTTCTGACATGTGAGAAAAAAAGGACAGATATATTTATTTTACTAACAAATTTAAAAATACGATTTCAGAAAAATTTGGCAAATAAGCCTACTTGTCCAGTTTCTTTACATTGATATCCCAAAAGCTAGTCACCTTTCAAAGCAACATGACATCTTTTAGGCCACTGGTATTAGGTAAAATGAAAAGTCATAGATATGTTGACTCTTCAAATTCATACTTTTTAATACAGATCATGCCATAAACCTTGATGATTCTATGGGAAATAAGAATTTTATGTTATTGTGCAAAGCCCAGGAAAATAGAGTTACGTGATTGACTTGAGTATTCATGATCCTGCACACGCTGTCAATCCTTTCGTTTAAGGAAGGGGGAGATTTTTGGTGGATGATGTGAACTTCAATTTATGCTGGATAAGCAAAGCAAATCACAGACCCTTTACAATGAGGATATTTAGAGCAACGTTACCTTTTTCCCAGGCCATATTTATGATTATTTTTTTTTTTGAGAAGGAAGGAAAGAGACATTTTATTACTTTGCCAGCAAAGGGGGAGGATGCAGACTTCTGTCTGAAATGCCATCGTCCCCCTAATGAGTAGAAATCCAGAGCTTTTAAAGGATGGCTTCTCAGCTTCAGGCAATTACTGTTCAACTATAGTTGATGATTCTGATCATCCCATCTCCACTAAAGACAATCCCCTGACCTCCACGCAGGACCTCCCTTTACCAGGTCCAGGTTGAGCCATCTCCTTTAGCACAAATAATAAGACTTACCCTGCCCCTCCCAACCACTTAGGCCATCTTTAAAATAATTTAAGTCAGGTGGCTTTGTCTACTCTTTGTACATTGGACCAGATTACAACATTGTTAGGTCACACCTGTAGCCAAAAAATAAAAATAAGTAAAAAAAAAACAAAGCAAAATCATCTTTCCTGAAAATTAAGTAGTCTAATTCAAACTTTGGGCATGACCCAATAAATTGGGTGATTTATAAAATATATATAAATTTTTTTTGTATTTCTGAAAGCCATATTATTATTATTATTATTATTTTTTGAGACAGAGTCTCACTGTGTTGCCCGGGCTAGAGTGCCGTGGCGTCAGCCTAGCTCACAGCAACCTCAAACTCCTGGGCTCAAGCGATCCTCCTGCCTCAGCCTCCCGAGTAGCTGGGACTACAGGCATGCGCCACCGTGCCCGGCTAATTTTTTTCTATATATTTTTAGTTGTTCAATTAATTTCTTTCTAATTTTAGGAGAGACGGGGTCTTGCTCTTGCTCAGGCTGGTCTCAAACTCCTGAGCTCAAACAATCTGCCCGCCTCAGCCTCCCAGAGAGCTAGGATTACAGGCGTGAGCCACCGCGCCCAGCCACCATATTATGTTTTGATAATCTGTTTTCCATTTCAAAAAATAGCTGTATTGCTGCCCACATTTAAAAGAAGTAAATTTTTCATTTGACCAGACTCAAATGCAGTTTTGGGTGACTTGGCTGTTACATCCAGCCAAATATATACACATCTAGATGCATTGTAGCATTTTAATATAATTGGCCTTAGTTTTGTTTTTTTAAAATACTGAAGATAATTATGCTTTAGAACAAGTCCACTGGCTCCAATCCTTAAATTCAGCCAGACTTAGTAATATGCTAATTTTAAGAGTAGACCCAGAACATTAACCAGGAGTGCAAAACTATGCATATCAATCAAAACAGGTGAGTTGTGAGGTTTTTTTTTTTAAAAAAGCATATCCACAAAATATTAATATATAACATGTTGATAGATAGAAATATTTCAGTGTCATTTATTTTCCATGTGATGTTGCTTTGCACATGTATTTCTGTTGTTTCCTAAATGTGGTTTCAGCTTCTATAGCTAAAATGAAAGTTCTTTAGAACAAAGCAACAATCAAAACAACACACAAAAAAATCACCATAGCTACATAAATAGCTAAATATTAGGTTGAGTGTAAGAAGCAAATCAAGAGAGGCATCTCAGTTTTTTTCACCAGCTAGTTTTATGCAAAACTCAACCCATCTCTCTCTATATTTAGAAAAGATCTTAAATTAGACAGGACTATGAAAATTCAAAATGTCTTATTTGCAATGTAGACAAGACAAACATATCTGAAAGCATACTATTTCTTTTAAATATAAGAACTAATTAATAAGAATAACCAAGACCTATTTATTATTTCTCTTTTCAGCGGAAGTACAAAGTGAAATTGAAAGAATCTTTGAGTTGGCAAGATCTTTGCAACTGGTTGTTCTTGATGCAGACACCATCAATCACCCAGCACAACTTATAAAGACTTCCTTAGCACCAATTATTGTTCATGTGAAAGTCTCATCTCCAAAGGTAATTAGCTCATTTCTGTCTTAAGGATTGGAAGCACATTTCTTTTGAAATATTCTTTGCTCTGTGTTTTTTTGTTAGTGGGCAAAGAGAATGTCTTGTGGAGACTCTGTTAATGGGCACATTTTAAAATTTTCACAGTGTACAGATTCTACGAATTGGAGATAGCAAATAAAAATATAATAGTCTATTTCTTCAAGAAGCTTATTGTCTACTGTGGTTCGCAAACCGTACAGGTATGCAAGTGTATAATAGAAACAAAAAATTAAAAATGCTGAGGAAAAGTAGATTCTGGCTTTTCATAGACTATAGGTTCTATTAGTAAATTTCTTGGATAATATTGATTCTTGTATCACCAATATTCTCTCCCTAGTTGAAAGACTACATAATTCAAGAAAAGTATCTATATTAGTCATATATAAAATAAAATATCACTGTATAAACATCTCTTATGGAAATGTTACAGACCCTGACGTTCGTGCTTAGGTTAGGTCCTCTGAGGAATATAGTTTATTCCATGATTAAGCACAATGGAAAATTTACCATGTATCTTTATGCCATTGGGGGAAGTAAAAATAAAAATGAAACAGTTCCAAATCAATTTCTTTTGACTTGGGTGTTCTTTCATTTTAAAAAAGTGATGATGTTCTAAAAAGTTAATATGAAATAGATACCCTTGGGAGGTACTATCTTAATCAGCAGTGCTCAACCTTTTTGGCACCAGGGACCAGTTTCATGGAAGACAATTTTTCCATGGACCGGGGATGGGGGGATGGTTTAGGGATGATTCAAGCTCATTACATTTATTGTGTACGTTATTTCTATTATTATTACATTGTAATATATGACAAAATAATTATACAACTCACCATAGGTTGGGGACCCCTGATCTTAATAATCAGTCTCTTTTCAGTGCCTGCTAGAGTGTATTTTAGTGCTTTCATGCAAGTTCTCCTCTCATGAGTGGAGAATGTCCAAAGAAACTGTGCCCTTCTCCAAAGCTTCTGAGCTCCTCAGCCTTCCATCTCTTCAGGCAATGCTTGTGTGCAGCGGACTTGGGAATCCTGACCAAACAAGGGCTTTTTGAGAATCAGTAGAATGGATTGAAATTACCTTGACCACCTGGACCTAGAGCTGCTGGGGGTTCAAGCACCTTTCCCGGCAGTGAAGGAGAGATTGGCCCCTCCCACTGCCCATGACACTATGGTGTCCTTAAGTGCAGGAACAGGGGCTCTCACAGACCTGTGTGCTGGGGTATCATAGAGCCTCATAGATTAGTACTGTTTTGGGGGATTGGGAGGGCCAAGGCAGATGGAGTATATGGCCAAATGCAGTTACAGCAGTGGCCAAAAGATAGATATATCACTGGTTTATATGTAGCCATATATCAAAGCAAATACTTTGCCTAGATTTCCAATCATGAAATAGTCTGATTAATGTAAAATTAAACTGGAATGGGTCATTAATTATCAGTGACAAAAAGGACCAAATATGTACATGACTCTGATATTTATCTGACATGGAGATAGTGAACCAAAATATTACTCAACATAAATGACCTGGTATGGCCAAGCATGGTGGCTCACACCTGTAACACTAGCACTTTGGGAGGCCGAGGCAGGAGAATCACTTGAGCCCAACAGTTTGAGACCAGCCTGGGCAATGTAGCAAGATCTCATCTTTACAAAAAAGGTTAAAAAATTAGCCAGGTGTGATGGGGCGTGCTTGTAGTCCCAGTTAATCAGGAGGCTGAGGCAGGAGGATAGCTTGAGCCCAGGAGTTTGAGGTTGCAGTGAGCTGTGATGACACTACTGTACTCTAGTCCTGGCAACAGAGCAAGATCTTGTCTCAAAAAAAAAAAAAAAATGCCGAGTACAGACCAGTCCCTCCATTTTTGCAAAGCTCTCTTTGAAATCTGTGAGTAAAATATGGGGTAGAAACTCGGGATTCCTCTAAGACTTTATACAGAGCTAGAATAGCATGAACATGTCAAATCCACTGTAACTGAAAGCCCGCGTAGGTGGATGACATCATTACAGGCTTATCTATATGATTTCTCACCCTGTATTTCTTCTCTACTATAACTATTAGTAATAACTATTAGTATAACTATTAGTATAACTATAACTATTAGTATAACTATTAGTAATAACTCAGGACTACACAGACCATTAAAAAGATCCTGGTTTATTTGGTTTTCTTTCAACTCTTTGATAATGCCTCAGCTATGCCTCAGCTTCATATCTTCTTCCATCAGGTTTTACAGCGGTTGATTAAATCCAGAGGAAAGTCCCAAAGTAAACACTTGAACGTTCAACTGGTGGCAGCTGATAAACTTGCACAATGCCCCCCAGTAAGTATAATCATTTTTCTCTTGATCATTCTTGGTTAGTTAGAAGAGGGTGAATTTTTTTTTCATATTAGCTTTGTCATTTTTATTCTAGAATGACGGTGATGATAGTTTGTTGTCATAAATCTAAAGGACTTCTTGCCACAAGCTGCCTCTGTTGTTTTGGTTGTACTCAGGCATCCAGAACTGGATGGTGTTTGCCTTGTGATAAGAAATGAATTTAGCGTCCAGTGTCTGCCTCCTTATGCTACCTTAATTACCTTGCAAACACTCAGCAAACCACTTAGCATCCGACCTCCAGTCACGTGGACACTTTTAAGAACATAAAAGAACAAAATAAAACACGCCAATTTGACTTTCCTTTACTTTTCTGCCAGAAAGTTCTGCCAGGCATAAAAGATTCTGATGTCGAAGGTCAAGAATTGATTAGAACTGGAGAAGCCTCGTGGTTACAGCAGATGACAGGTTCAGGGTTGAGTGAGGTGAAAAACTAAATGATAGCAACTCTTCTCCTAGTGCCATTGCCAGGAGACCGCTGCTGGGTCAGAGGCCGGAGTGGGGGGCGTGAGGTTGGGGAGGGGACTGCTCCCACGTGGCACTGGGTCTCCAGTGGCCAGTGTGTCTTCACGTGCTCCACTGACTTACTATTTCTGTGCCCACGTTTCTCTAAAGGAAATAACTGTGTTTCTTACTCAATTGAATCACTAGATTGTTTTATATACTTGTGTGGGATTGTTTATACTCTGTGGAAGCATAAAATCCAATTCGAATGTTCAGAGACGCAACACAGCATAGTTGTTAAAAGCACAGACTCTGGAGCCAGAGGCCAGGGTTCAAATCCACACTAACTAGTTATGTAATTATGGCAAGTGCTTACTTTATGGGATTGATGTAAGGTTCCAATGAGTGAATGTGTGGTAAAGTTCTTAGGACAGTGGCGGACACATAAGAAGCACAGTCTAAGTGTTTCTGTTATAATTACCGGATACGCTTTGCACTATGACATGTCTGGTCTGTTAGACTCTGTAAGAACCTGTACCTCTCTGGTTCACTGTCATAGCTCGGTTCCCTATCACAGTAGACCCATAATAAATAGTTGTTGAATGAGTAGATGTATCAAAGGATGTATAGACAATAAAAGTAATAATGCATCTTTTCATTAGATGCTTACAATGGGCCCACAGTATGTTAGATGCTTTACATAATCTCTAATCCTCACAGTTACCTAGTAAAATAGGCAATATTGTCCCCATTTTATAGTTAAGGCAACTGAAAACAGAGGGATTAAATGACTTTCCCAAGGTTACATAGCAAGTTAGGATTAGATCTAGATCTATCTGGCTCTAAAGCCAGTTTCCTCCCCTCGTAACCCCTTCTCCCCCTACATACACACCTGGTTACCTACCCTGCAGATAATCTGGATAGCTTGGAGCGTGGAGAGCTATGTTAAGAAATTTAACTTCACATTGCCTACTGATGAAATCCACTTATGCAGTGGAATATAAGATTAAAGTACTAAGCAGATACAGAAGGATGTATTACCCAGCCCCTGGTCCTATAACACTTCACAGTTGATGGAAGATCATCTTTGTTGTAAAGCTACCAAAAGCCAGGAACTATGCTATTATCTCCAATTTTTAGAACAATCTTAAAAAGATGGTTCTATCAGTTTGGTCTTCTGGGAAACAGACACCTAAATGGAATTAGAAGTGCAGGAGATTTATTGGAGAAAATGTCATCTTTTTATAAGAATGAGTTTATTAATATTTATTCCTAATAATTACTAGAGAAAATACTGGTATCTTATTAAAATTGAGGTATTTTAGCTGTTGAGAGGGTTGATCATTGAGTGGTTGTGCATCCAGTACAACTTGCTGCATCCGAAATAGCTGGGCCTGGCGCAGTGGCATGTACCTGGAGTCCCAGCTACTGGGGAGGCTAAGACGGGAGGATTGCTTGAGCCTAGGAGTTAGAGACCAACCTGGGCAACATAATGAGATCTTGTCTAAAAAAACGCTGTTTGGAATAGCTGGAACTAAGAAAAGATATGTGCATACATAAATGCAAGTTTTACTGTGAGCTACCTTAGGATTTGTACCTGGGTCAGGCATTTCAAAGGGCCCCATAGCTGGAAAGACAGCCTTGCCCTATCCTTATCTCAGTAGAATAAACATGTCCTTGTTTTATATAATTGGTCAGAAAACTTGAAATTTTAAACAAGCAGTCTGGATAGGTAAGATTACTTTGTATCTAACATTTTCTATGCACTGTTTATTAAACATGTTCACTTGATAATGTATGAATAGCATTTGTAATGCTAAGAAGGAATCATATACTCTATTTTGGTGCATGTGGAGAAATCTTCAGATTATAAAAACCAGTAGTAATTTAAAAATGTGTCTGCATTTGTCCCTACTTTACTTCAAGACCATAATTATAATTGTCACCCAAAGATTGGTGATCACTGTGTCATTTTAATTCCTTTAAGAGAATTTGCAACTTGCTTAATTGGCCACTGTATCTCCAGTCTGAAAAATCAGCAGGTTACACTGGCAGAGTCTCACATTGCTCAGAAATTAAAGGCAACAGTTTTTGGAAAGGGAAGTCTAAAAGAGCACTGAAAAAAGTTAACTCTCTGCAGCAAGAAGAATAAATCCTAGATTCAGGGACTATGAGAGCAAAAAGGGACTTTCAGGAGCACCCAGTATAGTCTTTCCTGGAGTATGTTGTTTACAGTATGGGTTCCATGTGATGTCAGCAGGTGTTATGGGAAAAGAGCCCCGATACCAAAAATGTTTGAGAAAACACTTACGTAAACAAAGGTAGTCTGGTTTCTTTACTGCAGAACCCTGAATATGCTAATGTGTATTTTATGTCTCCAATAGGACATATAGTATGCAGTGCTTGCCCTAAAATGTGACTATAGAGTATCCTATAGGTCTAGTGTTTCATGGAATACTCCTAGGGAAAGACTGATCCAGTCCAATCTCCTCATTTTACAAATGAGGGGAACTGAGACCAAGAGAGATGAACTGGTTTTCCAAAGGGCATATGCCTTGGCCAAAGCCAGTGAGACAGAGATCTCTGTCTCCTAGTCTAGCAAAACTTTAGGTGGTGACTGGCAACAGGTTAGTTATTATATACTCTCCTTGCGAGAGAATCACGGGTTTCATAGGTAAGGCTTTTTCTAGGAGAGAGGTCAGTAAACTTTTTTTAGTAAACGGCCAGATAGTAAATATTTTAGGTTTTGTGGGCATATGGTCTCCTTTTGCAAAGCTACTCAACTCTGCCTTTGTAACAGGAAAGCAGCCCCAGACAATGTGTAAACAAATGAGCTATATTTCAGTCAAGCTCTGTGGAAGCAGGAGGCAAGCCTGATTTAGACAGCTGACCAAAGTTGCCACTCAGGCTAACGTCATGGCTTTCTATTACTGTGCCATAAACTACCCCCAAACATAGAGACTCCAAACAACAGCCACTTTGGTGGCATTCAGGGGGCAGCTCACCTGGTCCCTTAGCAGGGATGGCTAAAAGGCTGGGCTCAACCAGCTCTCCTCCCTCTCTGAGTGGTGTGAGGGTCTTTCCATGGGCTCTCTCCGGCAGGGATACAGCCTTCTTGCATGGCAGCTCGCAGGCTCCAAGAGGAAGGATTCCAATCTCCTAAGGCCTGGGCTTTCCTACCAGCACAGCATCACGTCCACAGCATTCTGTTGATCAAAATAGTCACAGAGGCTCTCCAGATTCAAGGAGAGGAGACACAATCCTCTATCTTGATGCGGAATGTTAAAGAATTTGTGGCCATTTTCAGTTTGCCATAGACAGAAAGGTGAACTGGGAGATGGGCTACTTACTAGCTAGTTTACTCTGGAAGAGGGAGGATTTTCCTCTTTTTGTCCAGTCTGGATTCACAGGAAAAAAAGATGGGATGCAGACAGAAAGGGGGCTTATGGGACTAGGAGCTGCAAGCCCATCTTGTATTTTTTTTTTTATATGATCAGCCTGATTTTGTATTTCCAGTATACCTCTATATACTATATTTTTAGATTTCATTTTGCTTCTACCAGGTGTTGGTACCCTTTGGTCTTCAGAGAAGTTGAAAATAGGACATTTTAAGAAGGCCAAGTTCAAATTGCCCCAATACCATGGTAATAAGAGCTACATAATGCGTGGTGAGAAAAGCAGAGAGACGGACAATTGAATACATAAATGAAATGTAATCCTTTAATCCTACTTGGTTACAATCTGGCTTGTGTTACCAAGAGCTGACCCTGTGGCTCTTTGAGCTGTGTAATGTTTTTGTGTGTGTGAAATGACATCGATCGTTCTCTCTGTAAGAGCGGAACTCATCTCCTCGGCAGAATCTTGCAGGCCTCTAACATTACAGTAACTATAGTAGTTCTCTTCTATCCATCATTTGCTATTGCTGAGTGGACTTAGATTTATTCTATTAAACACAAGCACTCTGAAGGGAGTGGTAGTGCCCAGTATCCTTCGTCCGTATTGCTCTCGCAGCAGTAATTTTCCACTGCCCTTTTCCAGTAATTTTATTTAAATTATTTAGAATCATGTAGCTTTACCCATCTATTTGAAGTGCCCTCCACAATGGCGCATTCATTATTCACTGCCCCTGGATGTCCACAGATTTAATTCCTAACACTGCTTTTGAGAAAAGGAGTAATTGATTTCAGATGTTTCCTTCATGAAACGAGGCCACAGGGATCCAGTTTCTCTCAGTACAAAGGGGACTACACCTTTTCCAGGGGTTTCAGCCACATGACTTGAATATAGAGGGTCAGGGAGAGTTTATTCCCACCGATGCTATGATTTAACACATCAGATTCATATGAACTTAACAAAAATACTGAATGCCTTTTCTCCAGACACTAACATTGTCGGATGTTGTCATAATCTCTGAAGAATAAGAACGGACAGGATGGAGGGAGGGGTTTGGGAGGAAAATGTGTTTGGGTCTACAGTGAATGTCACAAATTATTAAGACAGGAGCTATAAAAGGGATCAAAGTCACTATATTCTTTGCATTTATCACCAATTAGCAGCAAGAATTCTGATTGTCCTTCCTGTTTAGCTCATTAAAGTGGAAACTACCTGGGACTGTTAGAGCCCCATAATATTTGTAGGCTCTCCTTTATCCCCATAAGACCTCCTAGATATTTTTAAAAATCTTTTAACTTAGAGTCTAATTTCCTGTCATGAGTTGACCAGTGAGTTAAGTATTCGGGACCTCAAATGTTTTAATAACATAAAGAAGTTTTGACGTGAGAGAGACATTGGTTGGTTATTTTATGATGAGCATTACATGTCTGTGCCATTCAGCCATTTTATTTTACTGAATGGTATTTGCCAATCTTTTTTTTTAAGCGATGTCAGCTTCAGGCTCTCTATATTCTAATAGCAAAGAAATGAAAGTATGCTCGCCTCTACTATTTCTTTGTTCCACTTAGAGATAGGAAAGGTGCCTTACATGAGGTTTTCTCTGGGCACAACCAGTAAATGTAAAGCAGTAGTCCCCAACCATTTTGGCAACAGGGACCGGTTTCATGGAAGACAATTTTCCAAAGGACTGGGGGTGGGAGGTATGGTGTCAGGATGATTCAAGCACATTACATTGACTGTGCACTTTATTTCTATTATTATTACATTGTAATATATAATGAAATAATTATACAACTCACCGTAATGCAGAATCTAATGCCACCACTGATCTGACAGGAGGCGGAGCTCAGGTGGTGATGTAAGCGATGGGGAGTGGCTGTAAATACAGATGAAGCTTGGATCACTTGCCCACTGCCACTCACCTCCTGCTGTGTGGCCTGGTTCTTAACAGGCCACTGACCAGACAGTATCAGTCCGAGGCCTGGGGATTGGGGACAGCAGATGTAAAGGCATGCTTATGTCGTGGGAGAGTTTGCATATATTTACTCCCCTATCTAGCTAATATTCAGTAATGAACCAACTTTAAAAGTTAAAATTAAACTGTAAAATTAGTTTCTAAGTTTTATAAACTTTTTATTATGAAATACTCAATGGCAGCTTCCCTAGCTAAAACATATTAGACAATATACACCAGTTTTAATGAGATTTCTCCCTCTGTGCTAGAAAGTATGTATTTCAGTCATTAAGGAAGACTTACTCAGTCTCTCTAATATCTTCCCTCCCAAAATAATTTAAAAGAAACAAATGGAACTTGCTCTATTCCCTCAAGGTAAGACCTGAAAAGCACTATTTTCTGTAAAAACTAGGGTGACCATTGATTCCAATTTGCTCAGGATTTTCCAGGTTTTAGTACTGATAGTCGCATGTCCCCAGAAATACTCAGTCCCTGGCAAACCAGGACGGTTGTTTGCCCTAATTCAGGTGGCTTCCCTGGGAAAGATAGTCACATCTTACTCTGTGAATGGAGAACCAGACAGATGGTTCAATACTTACGATTTTTTAAAAAGATCTTGCAAATCTCTTTTCCATGTTATTTCAGCTTCAGTCTTTCTTTCACTTTCTTTCTTCCCTGTCATTTCACTTCTCGGCCCACTGGATGAGCTAGAAGCATGTTTTTCACTCTTGATTATTTATAGTGCTTTAATGTTTAATTTTCTGGAAAGAGTTTATCCAGAAAAGGAAGCTGTACTGTGCCTGAATTTTTGATGGTTTGTTTTTGACTCCTCTGTCCACTACTTAATGTACTGTGGTAGCCACACTGTTTCTGCCTGCCTCAGCTGAAGAAAATATCCCATCATAGAACGTCAGAGGTGTTCGCTGTGGCAGTGCTTTGAAAACAGCTCAACGTTACCCTTATTTTGGGCTGTCGCCAAGGGCATGGGATCACTGAGCAGGCAACGCTCACTGCCAGGGCTTCTGCTGATTAGGTAGCTCTCTGCGTTCATATTAACGTATTAATGTACTAAAACATTTGCAGGAGGCCTCAGCTATTGCATAAGAAGGAGCTGACTACCCTTGAACCTTACATTTATGAGAAATTGGCAAACCTGGTTTGCATAATTCATTGGATTGCTTCTCTTTGAATTTCTTATATAATTAAAATCAATTTTTTCCCCCTTATACTGACTTTGTAGCACTCTGGTCTACTCAGCTGTGTTATTTCCTAAACAGTTAAAAAGAAAAATCGTCACAGATACACAAGCTGTGAAATTCTATCTAGTTGAAAATAAGCCACATATGTCAGTATTCATTCAGAAGCTGAAACTTGCTTTTCTCTGTGCTTTTCGAAAGCCTAAAAGCAGTTTCAAATCATCTTCCATCATATAGCTGTCTTTTAGCAGTAGAAAAGCTAGTTTCCTAGCAATGATTGAGGCTTAAGCAAACAGCCATGTGCTGATATATACAAATCCTATTCATTGGCAAAGAGAAGTACTTTCTTAGAATTACTTGTAATTAAATGTATGTTTAATTGTGTCTGTAGCAGTGACAATGTAACATGCAGAATGAGCCAAGTAGACGTAAGGCTCATTCAAGTAACATTCTGCCGTGGGTCCTGCCTGCCTGGGTGTCCTCTCTTTGGGACTCTGCAATCCTGGCTGTGATTATCAGGACCCATCCAGTCCAGACATCCCTGGAAGGTTCTTCAACTTGGAACTTTATGAAAGAAAGAAAATGATTTGTTGAGAGTAACCAAACCTACACTGTAGAATGAGACCTGTGTAATCAGATTTTACAGTTCACGCACACAAAGGTGATATAAACAACCAACTCCAAATCACATACAATGTAGAATGTGTGGGAGAACGTGAGGCTGGAGTGGCTGAGAGAGTGGTTCCAGTGCTGTCCAGTTTCTCTTTCTTCTTCCCATACAATCTGAGTCTCTGGATGCTCTTTGGGGTGTAGCTGTTCTTATCTCACTCAAGTCAGCACTACAAAGCCACTGATACCAGAGCATCATGGGCAATTCTCAGATTATTTATTCAAACTGTGGAAAGTTTACATTAATGGGGGAAGGGACTTTTGATTGCAAGATACAGGAAACTCCCTTGGGTTACTTTAGTGGAAAAGTGGGATTTATCATAAGGATACGTGTTGACAGAAACTCTAGGAACTGGCTCTTTTCTCTGCCTCTTATGGGCCATATAGTCTCTCTCTTCCATTGTGTCTTTCCTTTTACTGTTTTATTCTCTTCCCCCTACAGATAAACTCTTTGACTTGCTCATAATTTCCCCTTCCTCCTAAGTTCAACATTCGCATGTCTCTTTGAGATTCTTTCTAAATCCAGAACTTTAAGCTGCAGCTCAGTCTTATTATTGTTCTGAATTAAAGTCCAGTGTGACATAGATTATTATGGATTTTAATCCTTGTCTCTCCCGCCAGACCGTATGCCTCTTAAACATAAGATGGTATCTGTTTTCTTTGCCACCGTATATCCATAGTGTCTAGCATAAAATAGGTACTGAGCAAATATTCTATGAATGAATAAAATATGCAAAAACCATCTGAAGTCTACTAATAACTGTTCTTAGTTGGGGGGAGTTTTTTACATGAGCTGGACTAGCTGAGTCTTCTCAAACATGAGTCAGTTTGGGCTGAAGTCATCTTTTCCTCGTCCTGCTCTAAGGACCTTCAAATGGCTTTCCAATTTAGGGTCAAATTTTTCAGTAAAGATTGATGTGATGAAACATTTGAATAGTAAATGTTGGGGGAGAGATTGTTTCCATGGTGACTTCTGCTTCAAGGAGCCTTTGTTCTAAGCACTGAAGAGAATGAGTCAGCTGAGACACCACCAACTCCATGTCATACAGTTGCCATTAAACCTAAATCCAGCCAGTGATATCAATGCTGATGGCAGTGACCCTGTATTTGATTCATTATTTTGATGAAATGAGTTCATAAAAGCAGGTGGATGGTGCTGGCAGTGTGGGAGAGGGGAATTATTTCAATCCACCTATTGAAAGTTGGGTTGTGCTAAACACCTACCCATGGAATGGCTTTTCTCTTTGTGAGGTGCCAAGTTTTCTGACTGTCCTTCCAAAGAGTCTATGTCTTGGGTGTATTCTGGGTTGCCAGCCCCATGGCAGTAACAGAGGGGCCACTCTGCTCCTTTGGGGAGGAAGAACAACTTCCTGGTTCTAGGCCAGATGTTGAACAATGCCGTTACCGACAGAAACATGGACAGCAGACATTTCTTGTGTGACCCCTCACCTGCCCCAGTGCAACACCCCTTGTTCTTTTTTAACTATTGCACAAAATGATCTTGGTAACAGAAATCACTGTGATGTGGTTTTCTAGTATTAATGCTAAACTTTCTTTCCTTATTGTTTTATCACAAGAGAGATAACATCATTTTCACAAACATTCTGAAAATTACCTAAGCTAATGTTATTTCTTTTAACATAGTTACCTTGGGGGATGAAATGTTTATTCCAATAATATGGTCGTTGCCCAAAACATTTTTAGAACTCCTTTTTCAGTGCCATTAACTCACTTCTTTCATATTCTGAAGTGAGTTGAATTCAACTCTGTAAGAATATATGGGTAAAGGTGTGACTTCCTATACGCTTTCACTCTTTTTCACCTATAACACTTTTACGCTTATGTCATCTTTTTCTTTCTAAACACTGAAAGGTCCAAATATTTAATAAGCACTCCTATTTTTATGTTAATGTCCACATTTGTTCATGGATAACTGAGCGACTCTTCACTTGACTCTAACTTTAGAAATTGCCAATATAGCACCTAAAATTTGATATTAGCTGCTAGATATTAAAAATGCTATTATCTGCTGAAAGTAGAATTTTAGGTCCCATTGCCTAAAATCTAAAGTGGAGATAAAATGGATTTTCTTGTCGTCTACAGGAAATGTTTGATGTTATATTGGATGAAAATCAGCTTGAGGATGCGTGTGAGCATCTGGGAGAGTACCTGGAGGCGTACTGGCGTGCCACCCACACAACAAGTAGCACCCCCATGACCCCGCTGCTGGGAAGGAATTTGGGTTCAACAGCACTCTCTCCATACCCCACGGCAATTTCTGGGTTACAGGTATTGTCACTTCTTCACTTGTGTTTTTACAGCCTTACATCTGAGAGTCTATAGGGAACTTGGTTAGGATGAAGATTGAAGTTGTCCTTAATCTAAAAAGGGAACCATATGTGTACATTATATTAAAAAATCTAAAATGTCACTTAATCATGATCTCTCATAGAAAAAGCTACACAGAGAGTGATCCTTCCCTGAGAACTTTGAGCTCTGTGATTTTATAATGGATTTTACTTAGATAAATTAACGTCTCCTATGTTGAAACCCTGCCAGGAAACTGTGCGGCTGTCCATTACTTCTTAAGAATTATGTGATAGTGAAAATATCAGGCACCATGGCTAGCTAAGTAAGATATTTGGGGGCAGATAGGCCTTTGACTGCCCTTAACTAATCCCACCCCTGGACCTGTCCTCTACTTTGCATGAAACAGTGTGGACTTGAGTAGAGCTGCCCTATTCAGAAACAGTGACAGATTCCTGAGTTTTCTGGGGGCTGTGCAGGGGCCCACCTGGGTAAGTGGCTATGGCAAGTGTCCTTTAGGGAAGCTAGGGCTGAACACAGGATCAGGAGGTTCTCTCTTCTGCTGTTCTGGTGTTGCATTCAGAGCCAGACATAGGGAGCCAGGCCACCTTATGATACAAAATAACTCTTGCCTTTGTACATTAACTGTTATTTATCAAGCCGCTGCTGGAATGTGGCCCAGCCCCCAGCTGATTGAGGAACATGTAGTCAATTGAACCCTCTTGTATCATGACTAGTTTTGTTTTAATGGGTTATAATGATAGTCATAATTGTAGATCATGTAGAGTTAACTCTGAGATAAATGGCACTCTCTGAAATGCTATTATAACTGTATTACTCTACTGCAAAATTGTATCATTGTAAGGAGAAAAACTGCCATATAAATGAATAGCTTTTGAGGCTGGAAATGAACATGAAAAATGTACTATTGTAATGTACAGTATATATGTATGTGTCACAACTATTTCAAGCCCTGTTTCACTTCCTTTGGGTTGATCTGAGGCTAGCAGTTCCATTGACTAGTTTGGATTGGCTCTGAATTGTACACTGTGGGATGAGAAATGGGTGCATGAAGCAATAAGCTTCAATAATGTCGGTAGAAATGAAATTTTGCGCTTTGGTTATGAATGCAACACTCTTGACTCATCATCTCTAACACATCTACCTGGAGTGGTTCACCTAGTTTCACTAATGAATTAATATGTTGCCCTTTATTTTGTGGCCTACTTCTACCAGTAACCATCAGCACTTAATTATTAAACACCTGCCAGAGGTTAAGGGCACATCTCTGACCTTTTGAATGAATTTCCTTTTGTGTGAAATTGAGTGTACTTTACAGGAGATGTATCTGGGCCCATGGTTTCATCAGGATACTATTTCTTAACTGAGGTGACCTACTTAAACTGGTAGACACAAGTAGATAAATATTTTCCCATAGTGAAGAAAAATGTTGAATAACATATTCTGAGCCATCACATAAGTGTCTTAAGATATTAATTTCAGCTGAATGTGATGGCTCGCATGTGTACTCCCAGCTACTTGGGAAGCTGATTCAGGAGGATCACTTCAGTCTAGGAGTTTGAGGCTGCAGTGAGCTATAATCATGCCACTGCACTTCTGCTCGGGCAACAGAACGAGACCCTGTATCTTAGTGTGTGCGTGTGTGCATATATATTTATATTTATATATTTATTTATATACATATAAATAAAAATTTCAATTAATGGTATTAGAGGAGTTTAGTTTATATGTGAAGATTATTTTTGCAGGACATTTCAATTGAGGAAGCAAGATTTAGAAGTGTCAATTAGCTGGCTCCACAGATACTGTATACTCCTTTGGAAAGAATATTGCTGAGAGTCTTACATTTATGTAGAATGCAAAAACAAATGCACTATTATGTGGACAGCAGAAGTAATAATTTCATTAAAATATTTTTAAAAGGTATAAGGAACACTCGAAGTGAGGTGTGTTGCTTTAGGAGGAGAAAGATTTGATCAGTACAAGAGAGAAATAAAATAATAGATGCTATTCTGAATGTTATTCCCAATAGCAAAATAATCCTCATTTTTGCAATAGAAATAGAATTATTGGCCTTCCTAAATATATTAGGTTCCATTTAACAGTTAACTTTCAATTCTATGTTTTTAATAGGAAGCATAGTCATGCAGCACTGTGTAATTAAATTCATAAACTATCAACATTCAGGCATCTTTGCATGTTTTGTCCCAAATAAATAAGACCAGATATTTTGAGATCATTTGTGCATCAAAATGTTTTACTGAGTTAGATATTTAGCATCTTATTTTACAGATCCTATTATTTTTACATACTTTTACATGTTCAGATGAATGAAGCTGCCGTTATTTAATCGATGAACCATCTGATGTTTCTAGAGTCAGCGAATGAGGCACAGCAACCACTCCACAGAGAACTCTCCAATTGAAAGACGAAGTCTCATGACCTCTGATGAAAATTATCACAATGAAAGGGCTCGGAAGAGTAGGAACCGCTTGTCTTCCAGTTCCCAGCATAGCCGAGATCATTACCCTCTTGTGGAAGAAGATTACCCTGACTCATACCAGGACACTTACAAACCCCACAGGAACCGAGGATCACCTGGGGGATATAGCCATGACTCCCGGCATAGGCTCTGAGTCTGCTGAAACACAAAATATTCATCTGTTGACAATTTGCCATAGCACTGCTAGGATAAACTAACCATCTTAACTTGGCAAGCACAGCACAGTATTCACTGTGCTTATGGGCTGTTGTCATTTGATGCTAAGTAAGGGGCAAAAAAAAAAAAAAAATGTACATTATGCCCTTGAATCTAGATGGATATTAGATGCCCAATCATATAGATATTTTTAACTGCAACATTTCCATGGTAACAGTACCTTTTGTTTTCTTCATAGATTTAGACACATCGATTTGTAATTTAGGGTACTTATCAAGGCACATATAAAATAATTTCCCATGCTGGAAATTCCAAATGACCAGTTCCAGTTGGAACCAATTTATAAACCAATTCCTGTTGGAATTTGGGTGAATTGACTAGAAAGTCTACTTGAGCATGTTGCAATCAATTGAAAAATCTGGGAAAAAAAAAAACCTAATTAATAAGAAAATCAAAATACCAATAGAAGCCAAAACCAGCTATGGTATTTATTTGCTGGAAGCTAAATTTACACTAAAAGTTGGAATGTATAAACATTTTAATATATGTTAATGTTTCCAGAGTGACTTTTCAAACTTACCAAATGTATTGATAGTGCCAAAAAAACTCAGAAGTCTTATTGCAGAAATTATATAGTCTCCTCAGATTTTAATATTTTTATTTCTTTCCTGGCATAGCTGTTGTATTCAAAGTGTTTTGCTTTTTGTTTAGTCAGTACTGTTAGCTTGTTCGAAGTTGGCAAAAAAAAAAAAAAAAAACCTCTCAAAATTTTTTCAGCAGTGAGAGACAGTAGTAAAGAGAAGCCCAGACATAGCTGGATATATGAAATAGAAAATGGGGTGTTGTTTCCTCTTTAACCAATCTGAGCACAATTACATACATCCATGAATGCGAAGTCAGATAGTAAGGATGTGGTATTTGAGCCTCCCGAGTGCAAAGCTAAACATCTCCAGATGGGAATTCATCTATCCCACTGAACACAAACATGGGGTTAGGATTTCCTGCCAGCACGATTGAGTATCTTTCCATTGCTTCCCTCAGTCTCTGTCTTTGAATATCTGAATGTTCTAGCCCTTCATCGAATTCTTTAAATCATGCTAGGGATTTTTGTTTTACATGGACACATTCAACTTTGACATTGAATTGGAAGCGGTGTTTTTGCAAAATGACTAATTGAAAAAAGTTAAAACAAATGAATTTAAAAGCTTGCAGTAAAAAATAAACTCATCAATTCAGAAAATATTTGTTCACTAAAATTATAGCATTTTTAATGCAGAGAATTATAAAGAATTTGGAGATTAAACTTCCTAATTTCTAATGCACAGTCTTCTTCATCTATTAAGTCTTCACAATTTTTCCAATGGCTATAATTATGTAATTGGTGACCTGTGTCTTATATTATCAAGGAAGCATTAGATTCACTATGATCCAAGAAATTATTGAAATTGACCCTTTTATACAATACACAAATGTCTTTCCAAAACTACTTTTGTTTCTAAGAGTCCACAATGCATGGATTTTCTAAAACCCCAATAGGATCAACCATAAAAGTCCTTTTCTACTCCTACATGTCATGAAGCCTATTTTTGAAAACGATAATAATTAATTTTATACTATCTTACTTTTTTCCCCAAGCCCTTCAATATTTAGGCTGTCAAAGCATGCACCAGTTCAACAATTTTCTTGACCATGAAAATAAGTTCCATATTCTTGATCAGTTAAACATATCTTGAACCCCATTACAACCTCACCGCATGCCTGTCCTTCATGTTCACTGTGTGTACCCCATTATGAACCTGTTTAGCTGATAATGAGGACACCTATAATTCTGCAAGTTATTTCAAACATTTGATACAATTAAAAAATATGGGCTAAGTAAAATTTAAAAGTTAACATGTGATACTGGCTTGTGAGTTTCTTTTGTCATCTAGTGAAGCTTATAGAACTTTCAGTTAAGACATTTAGAAGAGTTGTATCCATTAGGCACTTTAATAAACATATAACCTGCCATTACTGAATACTTTGTTAGGACACAAGAGCATTTTCCAGCAAACAAAAATATATTTATTATATGTACAGCACATATTTGCATGAGAAAGAAAACATTAGCCAAAACATTTTTCTATATGCTTTACTGGTTTCTTGTTTGTGCGCATTAAAGTATTTAATTGCAAAAAATGCACCAAGGTGTATAAATTTAGACTAGACTGCTGTTCAGCTTTTTCCGTAGTAGCATTAGCAATTTGGTCATTTAACTACTTTAAGGTATTTACATTTTAGGCAGGTAGCTGTAACAGCATTTACATATATTTCCTAGTCATCAAGATTACCATCTTTCCTTCAACTTTTTAAAAGTCACTTGTTTTTAAACGCCTCTCTAAGCCTTGTTTCTACTCGTCCATGTCATGCTGATAAAGAGAGAGGCTCATTCAATATCTGTGCACAAAACCGATCATTTACCATCAAATGTCCATACGTGTTTTGCTTTCCATTCTTATTAAAAAGCTAATAATCTTAGAAAGGGTATAATGTATATTTTCTTGATGGACATATTAATATTTAAAATTTTATTTTAATTTGGCATATTCTTTCCCCTTCTTTCTGTAATAAGTTTATCTTCTTCAAATGAATAAGAGATATGCATCTTACTTTTTTTTAAAGCCTTAGAGTTTATTGTGTAAATGATACTTAGAATCCAGATATATATTAAATAAAAAGTTTTATTTTTGCCAAGCACACCAAGCACCTTTGGAAAATACATATTCCACAAATACTTTGTTTTTAATTAATTTCATTTAAAGATAGCAAATGATTATAAGCAGGAGAAAAAAGTCTTATACTATTTTGAGGCTGTTTTTTAACCTATAGTATGAACCACATATTAGAATTCTATAATTTCAGTCACAGACATGTAACAACATACATAGACTTATGTGACAATGTAGACTCATGTGACAATGTGGAAATGTAGTCCTGGACAAAAAAGAATGCAATTTGTCAGTCCTGATGTTAATTCTCAAGGCTATAATGGGACTCCAATATTATAATCAACAGTGTTATATTGTTTACTCTAATATTTCAAACAACACTTAGAAATGTTTATAAATTACTGATGATTCTCTCTTATCTTTATACAGTTCTATTGGAAAGAAAGTTGAAATTGTTAGCAATTTAGACTGATGATCTTTCCTAATAAGAGAGTCTTGATTTTGTGACTATGTAAGTCATTGCATTTAGTCCTTAATGAAATGAATTTTTTAAATGTAAAACAAATTCTGAGACAATTATTTGTTCCCTTTAAATAATTTGTTATTTGCTTGAATTATTGTTGTTGTCTGCAAAATGTATTTTTGGAATGTTAACCTCTTTTCATACCTGCATACTTGAACTTGTCTTTTGTGTGGGGGCCTTAAAATTCATAATAGAAAATGGGGGCAGTGAAAGGGAGGAAAGGAAATTATGTTGGAAGATGCTTTGCAAATTTGAACTCTTTAAATGAACATATCACAAAATGTTGTTGAGACCCAGGATGTCAGTTAAGAACGTTTCTTGGCAACCTTGATTTGCATGCTAGTATATTTTCTTAGTTATACAATTTTATTTTGGTATTTGCTAAAAAATAAAACAATGTACTACCATTATAGAAATTACCCCTATATATTGATACTTATACTACCTCTTCTCTAGAGAAGACAGTCTGTCTTTAAAGGGAAAAAACACTTGTCAATAAGTAGTGATCAAATTATTACTATTACGGCTCACCTTGCTGCAAAGCTAAATGCATAAAGTATTAAAGTATGCCTTCCCTTTAGATTTTAAACTGATTCCAAAACGCTCTTGGCACCCTTTCATTTCTTCTATGGTAGTGAAATTGTCTTTGAATTGTTCACAGTTTATCATGAGGCAAGGTTAATTCAACAAATAAGTCATCATTGGGAACAAAACAAACTGCAAGGGAACTGCCTTCGTGGGCAACTTGTTAGAATATCTGGCTCTAAGTCTAAAAGAGAGTAGGTCCAGAGACCTGATATTTAAGTGCAGCTGGTTTGCAAATTCAAATTATTTTTGATCCTTTACTTCTACGGTCACCCAAAGCCTGGCTTAGCCATTTACGGGGTAAGGATATGTGTTATCTTGGACTCCCATGTAATTGGAACAAACTTCATATCAATGTTTCAAATAGATGCTTATGTACCCCTTATTCCTTTTATATTCCTGCCTTTGTCTTTTAGGACAATGTTGCATGTTGGTTTTTTAAAAATTATATAAAACTCATCCTTGAATGACTATATGAATGAAAACTTTATAGGAAATTATATAATAAAATCTGTTTTATTAGTTTCTCATACCTTTAAATACTGTCGATACTATAACTAAGTTACTTATTGAAGCTGTGTCTGTGGGGCAGAGAACAGTCCTCTTTTTTTAAATGATAATCATGATCAAACCAGTCAAGTCAGTACAGTAGCTGTTAGACAATAGGATAACTTTTCTTGTTGACTTTAGCAGTCAAGTTAGTTAAAATAGTAAAAGTGGTTTCTATGGGCACACAGAGCTAAAGCATTCAAAAATTACTTTTTAAAGGTTTCTTCTTTTACTAAAACAGTCTTTCTCAAATGAAATACATCCTCTGATAGCAATTATCTCTGTCTACTTACAGATGGCTTAATCTCAAATACCTCCTGTAGTTGAGGCATATTATGAGAAGACTAGAAAGAATCTCATCAGATAATCCTAAGGGCTGTAACTCCTACTTGCCATGAAAAACACATAAATAAGAGTGAATTAGCAATTGGTTTGGGGGAGTCATAGTTACATATGAAACTTTCTTTTGTTTCTTTTGATGTGTGTAAAATGTTTGCAGAAGGGTGGCAGAAAATGTTTCTAATGGATTTAGAGTGGTTTGGGGAATACACTGATACTTCCTCATTTGAAAATTATAAAGAGTTAAAATGAGGACTATCTAAGAACCAGAAGTGGCTGGCCTCTAGCTTTTCAATACTTTCTAAGTGTTCTTGGTTATGTTTTGAACACTTAAATTCTCAAAAAATGGCTACGTCTATGTTTGTGTAGGGGCCACTCTTGCCCTACTTGCATGCCACTTTCACTCACTGTTAAATGAAATCAGTGTGGATTCTGTATGCATAAGGGATGTATTAAAGATGCGGGATCATTAACGCTATATTGTTGCATACTATTATTCATATGCCTTACAATATTTTCTGGGACGTTATTAAAATGAAAGCATTTTATTGCCAAAATAAATCTATGTTGTTACTTCTAATCTGCATTAGCAGTAGAAAAATAAATAATGTAGCAAAAACATATATTGTACAGTACAAAATTATAAAATATATATATTTTGCCAATAATATGAAAATAGATTGAGGAGAAAGAAGCACATTTGTTATAGCACAAACTTACAAAGAAATCCACTGTTAAATTTGGCAGTCATATTTTTTAAAAGTATATAGATTTAGCTCTAAGTTTTATCAGATTTATCTCATCTACTATCTTTTTAACTTGCTGCTTGATGCTTTTCCAGCAATTTATTTCATAGCCTTGCAATCTGTGGATGTAATTTATTTTATTCCCTTCCATAAAACTTATTAAATTTTATTTTGTGATAAGACTCATACTATATTTTCTGTTCTTATTTCTTCTCCTTCAATAGCAACTACAAAAAAGTCACAGCAAGTGAGCTCACAGGGCTCCTCTGAATTTTGGACATGTTTGAAATTTTTTATATTTTTCACAGCCTCAAGTCAGAATGATCAATAACAATGTCCCAGCAAAAGAATATTAGTTAGGGGTCCTTTAATTTGTTTTGTACTGAATACTATTTTGAAACATAAGTTAATTCCATTAGCTTTGTTTTTGAAGGGATGGTGGGAGGGAATAAAAAATAGGTAAACTTATTAACATAAAACATACTAAAAATAAATACGGCAAAATGATGTAAAAAGATTTTCCCTACTATTCTGAGGGCTGTTGATATCCCAGGCTATTGCTGTATCTCCAGCGACAAAGTGGAATAAACATTGCCTTTGGCAAATAATTTTTTCTTTTCTTTAAATTTTAGTTATTTGTTTTAATAATTTATCCCCTTTTATTTTTCTTATGTAGGTATGTGTAGCATTCTACAAGGCATGCTGGGTAAAATATACTATGCAAATGTGTACAGTGTTGCATGTTTTGTTCTCCCTCTGCTTTAGTGGATTTAAAGAAAAAACGTGGTGTTATTTTTGTGAGCAAAAACATTTAACAAAGAAAATGCAGAGTGCATGCATATAGTATCCTAATTTCTATGGATTTGTTTTATGGAATTTAAATGTGAACAAAACAACTGCATTAATTTTTTTTTCTTTTGTATAATAAATGAAAAAAACACAGAAACCAGCGTTATACCTCTCCTTTATATTATTCTGGAAATACATTGAAGAAATATTGGAAATCAGTAGGTATATTTCTATATCTCTTACAGGAAAAAAAGTCTAAACATTTACCCTCAAAAAAAAAAAAGACGATTCAATTAAATGACTATTTTCTGAATACTCTGATAGGTGCTATGAATGATCACAAAAGTACTGTATTAGGAAAGAGCTTGTAAATTAAATACACACACACCATGCGAAATAAAATAGGATAAATGTGTGAAATAGGCTTGAATATAGAAAATATATATTAGATGAACCTTATTGTTCACAAGACACCCCTAAATGATTAATGTAGTAGTTATCAGAAGTTTCCAAAGCTCTTCTGTACTTGTAAGAATTCCATAAATGGTAAACATCCCATGACTTAACATTTCATGTACTCAGGGTCAGTTGGCTATGGTATGATTTGATTGGAAGTTGACTTTTTTCTCATTGCACTGTATAAGAAGTTCAAAAGAAATGTGTACTATGTTGATTATTATCACTGCATTAGAATTATACAGTGATTTCTTACAGCCTAGTTCACAGATATTTTCACATTTAATCCATCTGTCTGACCACCAAAAGTAAGCAGGACATGGATTATTAGATCCAACTATAAATGAGGAAACCAAAGCTCATTGAAACTTCTCTCTCTAAAGTACTTTTATTTAAAAATACTAGTGTGTTAAATGCTTTTAAGCTAGGTAGTCATCTGAAGCATACAAAGCAATGCCTGGAATACAATAAATGTTGACTGAATGAACAATACCTCAGTTATTGAAAAGTTATTATATAAAGCTGTCTCAACAATCTAAAATTCCCAGCTGGAAGAGTTACAGTAGCTTACTATCACCACATCAACTGGCCATATGCCTGAAGCCACCTCTCTTGTCATCAACACATTTCCACAAATAAAATGGATTGGGGAGAGAAATATCTTGTTGGTGCTTTCATACAACATGCAAATTAGCATAGTGGTTTCAGTGTGGACTCTAACCCCTGTCGGGGTTTAAAGCCTAGATACAGCAATAACTGGCTATGAACTCGGGGTAATCACTTAATTTCCCCATGCCTGGATGTTTCTGTAGAGTGATTTTTCTTTTGGTTCTGGATCACATTTTCCTGTTTTCCTGTATATCCAGTAATTTTTTATTGGATTTAGGACAATGTAAATTTTACATTGTTGATGACTTTATGTTGTATTTCTTTAAAGAATGTTAGACTTTTTTCCAGGTAATTTTGGATGAGTTTGGCCCTTCAAGGTTTGTTTTTAAGCTCCTTTAAGACTGGTCTAGAATAGGACTTATCTTCAGGCTAATTTAGCTCCTCTTCCAAGGTCCCTGGGGTGTCTACTGAATGTCCTATATATTTAGTGAGTTCTCTTCACTCTGGCTAAAGGCAACTCAAATGATTCCTGGCCCTTTGTAAGCTCTGGGAATTACTTGCTTTACAGCTCCCTGGTACTTGTTTTTTCCTTAGAAATTGTTATTGGCCAGCCTCCCAGGGTTTCATACTACACAAGTGCAGATTGACATGCAGCCAAAGACTCAATGGCCTCCTAAGCAGGTTTCTAGAGCTTTTCTCTGTGTAACTCTCGAAGTGACTCTGCTTCACAAATTATAGCTGTCTTAATTTCTGGAAATGCTGATCTATGTCTTCAATTGTAGGTGTTTGCCAGAGTCTTATTTGGGTCCCCACTCCCTCACTAGTTGGCTGGGAGTTGCTTCAAGGCAGAAAGTCCAGACAATGGTAAGACTCATCTTGTTGGTTTCCCTTTTGTAAAGAATCACGGTCCTGTTCTATGTTTTCCAGTATCTGAGGACAATTGTTTCCTAAATTTTGTCCAGTTTTCTATTCATCAATGGTAGGAGGGTAAATCCATACCATCCCACTCTCTCATGTCTGGAAGCAGAAGTCTATCCAATGACGTTTTGTGCATCACTATAATCATGGATAAATTACTTTTTAAAAGGTCTCACGAGGAGTCTGTTTTCACAAATAGCTTCACACCACTCAGTAAAGATTCTGAGTTACTTCTACAGCAGTTCCAAATTTGTATTTCACCTACGGATCTTATAGTTGGGCAAGATTGTATTAGGTAAATTCACTTTTTTTTTGAGAGACACTTGGAAAATAATCTGGGAGATCATCTTCGTAAGGTAGACTGTAAAATATGAAGTCCTAACCTCAAGTTAATATGGATGTGACATCTGTTTCATAAATTGACAGAGATGTGTGGGAGTTTGCAAAATGTCTTAGAACTGCCTAAGCATTATCTACAGTGTGCAATAATGTAAATATTAAAGAGTTAATGCAAATTGGTTATGCAAACAATATTGTTTTTCTAAACAGCCTATAGAGCACTTTAGTAAGTAAATCCAGACATAATAATCCATAAATTAATATAGATTACTAAAATGATTTTTTCTCTTCATGTATGTTTCCTCTAAACTTTGGCTTTTTAACCACAAGCCCCAAAAGAAGTCAAAGAAATTACTTTTCTATATATTGAGATAGGATAGTGTATGGCTAGAAGTGAGGGGGAAAGGCATAGTTTATTGTTGATTTTGCTTAATTTCATTTAGCTGTTGGGGATGAGGGTCCAAAGCAGCTCAAAATAGCTTATAAAACTTCCCTACAATTTTTGTCTTCCTTTTTACCAAAGTTAAGGAGAATGGAAAGGGGATGGAACTTTAGTGGCCACTAAAGGTTTTTAAACTGAGGAGTGATTTGATCAAAATCATTGCTTTGGACAAGATTGACCTGAGAGTCCAAGGAGATCAGAGGGAAGAGCCCTGAGGTACAAAAATGGCCTTAGGGCGACTGAGTGCCTAGGTAAGGCCGCGGACTTCAGCTGAGTAAGAGGCTCCAAAGGAAAGACAATCTTCGCCAGGTACCCTCTGAACAAGTCTTTGAGGGTCAAGATGTGGGACTTCTGGTGCAGTGTATGTGAAAAAAGGTCGGGATGGGCGCTTAGTACTCAATTACATGTTTACATTACGGCTCCAGGGAGGAGTTTCCGGGAAAACATAAAAGTCAGAGGGAAAGCAACAGCGTCGAGAACCACCTGCCACAACTCACAGCCCTCACAGCCTCTGTCCGGGGTCACAGTCCACTCCGGCGGCCGGGTTATGCAAACTACCGAGGCCCAGGCGGGCGCCCTTTCCCAGGCTCCGCCCCTTCGGCCGCGCGCCTACGCACTCACGTCCCGCCCGCCCCGCCCCTTCGCCTCCCCCGCCCGCGTGGTCGCCGCCACTGCTGCTGCCCGAGAAGAGCTGGGGGAGGACGGTGGCCCGCGAGGCTCGTCGCAGACAACGCGGCGGCGATGTCCGCGAGCCAGGCGAGTGCCGCGGCGGCAGCGGCGCGGCCTCGCGCGCGGCAGGGCGGCCTGAGTTTCGGCCTCCCTCCGGTTCCCTGGAAGCGGGCCGGCGGCCAGCGCGGGAGTAGCAGCAGAGGCGGAGGCTCCAGCGCGTCTCTCTCCTCCCCCTCAGCCTGAGCCAGGGGAGGCCAGGCGGCCCGGGTGGCTGGAGGGGGGTCCGCTGCCCGAGAATGGGAATTCTCTTCACCAGGATATGGAGACTGTTCAATCACCAGGGTGAGGGGCTCGGGTCGCGGGCGTACGGGTTGGGGAGAGGGTCAGTCCTGGCCGGGTGGGTGGGGGTCTCCGAATACTTCCGGCGTCTGGGCGGCGTGGTCTGGCGCCGTCTCAGCGCGGGGTGCTGGCTTCGCGGATGCGGGCCCAGGACTGTTCGGTGCCCACTCCCGAGCTTGGGGAGGGTTCCTGACTCGCAGCCCTTTGTCTGAGGGAACCTTCCTAAGAAGTCCTTTCAGCAGTACACCCATTGCTCCGATTTCGATTGGGGGTGGAAAAGGTTTCTTGCCGCACGTTCGTCGTCCCTGAGTGGCACGGCCTGGCCTTTCAGTCCTTGCTTCCGCTAGCGGTTAGGTTTGGACACCACGTAGAAATGCTGGGGTCTTCTGGGATGAGGGTTGCAGAATGTGGAAAATACGGAAAACGCGAGGAATCACACTGGACTGGTTCAGTGTCCCTCAAGTTTATGAGCCTTCCCTCCACCCTCACCCCTCTACATCGTGTGTCTATGTGGGGAGACTCCTGCCTCCTGAATAGTTAGTGATGGGCTTCTCTCGATGTGCCTTATTTATACCTGTCTTTAGAGATAAGCTTAAGGTCATTTTCCTATTTATGTGGGTTATTTAATTAGAGGTGTTTTTTTTCCCGTCTGGGTTAAAAATGTTAAAGTGTTTAACACTTTAAAAAGCTTTAAAAACCATACCATATGAAACGTTTATTAAGCATAGGTAACTAGCAAGTTACTAAGTATAAAGAGTACTATCATGAAAATGCTTAAGTTCAGCCAGACTCAAACATTGCCTTGAAATGTCTATCAGGTTTATTAAAATTTGTTACAAAATGAGTGTGTAAAACTGGGGAAAGAGAATACAATTTTAACAAAAAGATTCCGTAGTTATTAAGATGCAGCGTATTGGCATGCTTTGTTTCTTTTTAACTCAAGTTGGGTGGTTCTTCATTCCTGCTGTCAGTAACTGAGTTTTTGTTTCTTCCTTGTGTAAGCTGATGGTGATGTCACATCCCAGAGATTTCCAATAAAGACTTAAGTGAATGGTCGTGTTTATTATGTACACCCACTACCCTCAGCTCCTTCATGATTGAGCTGCTCTTTTAAGGAGGTGATGGGAAGGGAGCAGAACTGGAACTTGTGATCCCTAGTGTGTCTTTAAAAAAAAAAAGAAAGATAATAGTGTAGATCACATGATACTAAATGGAAGGGCAGTATTCCAAATGATATTTCCAATAAGGGGATTTTTTTTCTTTTCCTTTTTTTTTTTGTTAAGTAGAGAAAACCAGTTCTAATCGGCACTCTTCGGACTTTGTGTTGGAAGAGAGAGTGGAAACTGGTCACTTAACCTCTCTGTGTCTAGGTGTTCTCAGCTAGAACACCAGGGATCTATGGATTCTACAAATCTTGAAAACTTAATCTGTAGGCTTCAAATATTAATACTTACATTGCTATAAGACTGGTTGGTGCTTATAGTAGATACAATCTAGTTGAGTTTTAACATCCATGATTTTGTATTATTTTTAGTGAAACTTGTGTTTCGATTCTGTTATGTTTAGAAAGACTTTGTTGCTTAGTTGAGCTCTAGTACTGCGAGAAAAATAGATGTCTCCGCTCTCTACTTTGAGGCAATGATAAAATTATTTGTTTCTGTAATCTAAGACTGCATTTGAGCTTTGCCAACAACTACTTGAAGTGGTAAAAAATAAGGATATGTGTGTTGGTACCACTACAGATTGCTAACAGTAGTGTTTTTATAGCCTGTATTTTGTGCTAATCTTTGGGCATTTACTTCAGTGTTGAGGAAATTAAGAGGAATTAATGAAGTCAAGTTCTAGAAATTTAGAACTTTATGAAAATGTGAATAAACTATTTCTCCTCTGCTAACTGATATGGTTGTCTTATCAATAGGGTCACTTTTCAAAATATTCACTGTTCAATCTAATGTCAGATACTTGTTGGTCTTTTTGGGTCTGTATTAAATTAAACATATAAGTTAGATATATCTCGCATACTTTATTTTACCTACAGAAGATTCAGAACACAATCATATATTCTTTTCACAGAAATTCTTAGAATGAAGGTTTGGGGGAATTACAGAATTTGCCATGCTGATGAAGCAAACTGTGCCATATCTCTTGTTTCTGAAACTCTTTTAGAATAGCTTTTTCTGTTAAAACTTAGATTGAGTGCACAGTAAAAGCTAATTACATACTGCTCAAACTAGAAAAACCAGAGGGTACATTGAGGTGATATTTAGACTCAATAGAGTGCAAACTTCATGGTAGATGCTGTCATTTACATCTTTTTTTTTCTTAGTGTTTCAACAGTCCTTTGAAGTAGTTGGTAGTATTTCCCCTGAAAAGAGGAACTGAAGGTTAAGTGAAGTGATTTTTTCCCAGGCCTTACAGCTAGTATATGCCAGAGCCAGGCAAGTTAAGACACTGAAGGAATGTGTTGCTGGTTATTGGTCTTCTTAAAGAAGAGATTGACATCATTTTTTTCCCTTTCTTTCTCCCCTCCCTATTGACTGTTTCTCAGTTGCTAAATTATACATCATCTTTACGACTTTGAAAAGTTACTATTATTGGCTTTTCATATAGAAGGGCTTGTGATCAGTCATGTACTTTTTCATTAAACAAGCATTTTTTGAACACCTATTTGGGCCAGAAACTGCTCTAGGTGGTGAGAACAAAACGGACAAATCTCTGTGCCTTTATGGAGCTTTCATTGTAGTGTGGGGAAACAGCAAATAAACTCACTCCATCTCTACAAGTCAGATAATACCAGTTGATATCTACTGATTTGTGCAAAGTTGGGTTCTATGTGTCTCACACAGATTGGTGGATTTAATCTTCACTTAGTTAATTTACTCTTTACAACAACCCTATGAGGTAGATACTATTCTCCCCATTTTTTTTTTTTTTTTTTTTTACAGGGGCAAAGAAATAGGTAACTTGTTTAAAGCACTACAATTGAAAGTGATAGACCTGGGATTTTAACCAAGACTGTCTAGTGCCAAAGTTAGCGCTCTTAAAAAGAAAGAAACAAAACACTCCATAACTTTGTTTGTAGAAGAAGGTTTCATGTTAGATAAAAGGAGGAACTTTATGACACTAATGTGAACCATGAAAGAAGTTGTAGAATTTCCCCATTGATAATGTTGCTTGTATTGCTCTTCTGATTGGTTGTTAGGAAGGAATTATAAGTTATGAATGAGTGCTGGAGAAACTGCCTGTGCTGCAGGAACGTGGCACTGAGGAAGCCACCTCTGCTTCTGTTGTTTTTTTTTGTTGTTGTAAGGGAGTTCAAATGTGTATAAGAATGCGTATGTAAGCTGATTAGCCAAGGGGTGGACTGTGCCAGTTATCAATTTATTGACTTTTAGCTTTTGATACAGATGTTCCTTGACTTATTGATGGGATTATGTCCCAATGAACTCACTGTGAATTGAAAATAGCATTTGTTAGTCAAAAATACATTTAATACACTTACTGAAAATCATAGTTTAGCCTAGCCTACCTTAAATGTGCTCAGAACACTTACTTTAGCCTATAGTTGGGCAAAATCATCTAACCGAAGGCCTATTTTATAATAAAGTATTGAATATCTCATGTAACTCATTGAATACTGCATTGAAAGTGAAAATCGTATGGGGATTCAAAGTATGGTTTATACTTTTGCACCTTTGTAAGTCGAGGACCGTCTGTAGACCCTTTTTGCATGCTCCTGTGGAAATGGAACTTTAATATTTTTCTTTTGCCAGCTGGCATTACCTTAAGCTTTGTCCGTAGCTCTGGAGGGACATTATAGGGGGAAAGGCTTTTTGTTCTTGGTTATAGTGTGCTCTCTTGACAGGCTGTGCTTGCAGCACGAACACTTTCTGGGCCTGGCTCTTGCACTGCATAGGGGTCAGTAGCAGCTTCCCTAGTCCCCACCTCAGTTGGTTTCATAATGGAAGACCTCAGGTGAAATACCTACCAATGAACAGTATTCCCTAGTGCCCTAGAAGGAGGATTTCCAGCAAATAACACCGGCACCTCACCACAGCTACTTCTCTGCCATTCAGTGAGCCATGGCTGTGCCCTCCAACAAGATCTGCATCTCAGTCCTGAGGGAATGGGAGGAGCTCTATTTCAGCCCTAGGGGTAGTGGATGTTCCTTACATATGTCATTCTTATAATCTTTGTAGTTCTTTTGTTTATTGTTAGCCAATACCTCATTACTCCAATCCCCTATAATAGTTACTTTCTTTACATTAAACTTGCCAAGTTCAAATTATTGTGATTTCTGCCTTCTGATTGAATCTCTAATTTTGCCATGTATAATCACTGCTGTTACTTCACCAACCTCTTGGTGCAAAAGAAATGTTTGGGTTTTTTCCTTGAAACTTCATTACTGAATTTTTAATACAAAGTAACTTGATCAGATATCTTCCTCCCAACCTTTATATTTTCCAGATATGATTTATTTATTCACTCATTGAAAAATACTTTATTAAGCACATGCTTTATTCCAGGCTCTGTGCTATGGACTGAGAGAACTACAGTGAACATGAAAAATGGAATTTTTGCTCTGAGCAACATAGGGCTTAATGATAGTTTGGATATGAGGTGAGAATGAAGAATCAGGATGACTCCAAATTTATTTGCCTTGGTGTTCATGTTTTCTGACTTTGTATGATTCACAGAGATAGAAATTCTCCAGAGTGACAGTTACTTTTTTCTCCCCTTAGTTTACTGACTGGCTGTTGGGAGAGTATATATTAACTTTTAGAAACTGGCAGTGTATGGAACTGGTAGGCTGCCTGAGTGTGTCAAAAGGAAATGAAGAAGGGAAACAAGAAGGATTTTTATAACAAAACAGTAAAGTACTGATTGGTAAACTAAAGCCTAAATGATAACTCACAATTCCATCAAAGCATTATAACAGTGTGTAGTTGTTTTCGCTTATTTGAGTAAGTGTGACATAGATATCCCAAAAGAAAAATCATACT